CAATATCTTAAAGGCACTCCTGGTAAAGGACTGTTGTTCCGACGTAATGGCAATCTCTCGTTAGAAGTTTATACTGATGTTGATTAAGCTGGATCTGTAACTGATCGTCGATCTACAACTGGTTATTGTATGTTTCTTTGTGGTAACCTAGTGACATGGAGGAGTAAGAAGCAGGACGTGGTTGCCAGATCGAGTGCTGAGGCTGAATTTCGAGCTATGGCTCAAGGCGTTTGTGAACTATTGTGGTTGAGAATTATACTTCGTGATCTTAAAATAAGATGTGAAGGACCTATGAAGTTATTTTGTGATAATAAGTCCGCCATTTGTATAGCTTATAATCCAGTTCAACATGATCGGACTAAGCACATTGAGGTCGACCGCCATTTTATCAAAGAGAAGCTTGATAGCGGGTTGATCACCACTCCATACATCCCTTCTGGACGTCAATTAACTGATATTCTAACAAAGGGACTTCCCTCAGAAAGATTTCAAGAGCTTACTAGCAAGCTGGGAATGATAAATATCTATTCCTCAGCTTGAGGGAGAGTGTTGTAAATAATAGTATTTGTTTATTTATTTTCATTCTAGAATCTTCTTTGGGCTTAGCCCATTAGGTTATTTAGTCTCTTTAAATAGAGAGCAATTGTACAGATGTAATACACAATTTTATCAATAAGACCATATCTTTTTTCAACTAAAGGCAATAGGGTGCAGATGGGTGTATACTCTGAAATATAATTCTGATGGGATACTTGAGAGGTATAAGACTTGATTAGTAGCCAAGGCGTACAAACAGACCTATGACATTGTTTACGAAAAAACATTTGCTCCAGTGGCCAAAATGAACATGGTAAGAGTTCTATTGTCCCTTGCTGCTCACTTTAATTGGGATTTGAAACAATTTGATGTGAAAAATGTCTTCCTCAATGGCTAATTAGAAGAGGAGGTTTACATGGAGAACCCACAAGGATTTGACTCTAGAAATGGAGATAATAAGGTTTGCATATTAAAAAAGGCGTTGTATGGCTTGAAGCAATCCCCACGTGCTTGGTTTGGAAAATTTACCAAGGTTATGGTTTCATTGGGATACAAGCAAAGTCAAGGAGATCACACATTTTTCTTTAAACATTATCAGGAAGGTAAGCTCACCATTTTTCTAGTTTATGTTGATGACATTATTATAATAGGGGGATGATATAGGCAAGAAATGTGCTCTGCAAGAAAGACCGACAGCTGAATTTGAATTTAAAGATCTTGGAAAACTAAAATAGTTTCTTCGAATTTGAAGTAGGGAATTTTTATTTGTCAACAAAAGTATGTTCTTGATCACCTTAAGGAAATAAGGAAAACCTAAGTGTAAACTTTCCAGTACTCCGATTGGGTATAATCACAAACTAGGAAATGAAAATGAAAGCCCTCCAATTGATAAAGGACTGTATCAACAAATGGTGGGAAGATTGATATATCTGGCTCATACTAGACCTGATTTAGGTTATGCAATTAGTATTGTTAGCCAATTCATGCATGACCCGAGGGAAAAACACTTGCAAACAATGGACAGGATTCTCCAATATCTAAAAGGCATATCAAACAAAGGACTATTATTCCAGAGAGGAGAAAACCTATCCTTAGAAGTTTATACAGGCGCCGATTAATCTGAATCTGTGAATGACCGACAGTCTACCTCGGGCTATTGTAAGTTTCTGTGGAAATCAAGTAACATGAAGAAGTAAAAAGCAAAATGTGGTTGCTAGATCAAGTGTAGAGGCAGAATTTCGAGCCATGGCTCAAGGTATCTGTGAATTATTATGGTTGAAAATCATTCTTGATAATCTCAAGGTAAGATGTGAAGGATCTATGAAGTTACTCTATGATAATAAGTCAGCTATCCGTATAGCCCACAATTCAGTCTAACACGATCGAACCAAACATATTGAGATTGACCGTCACTTCATCAAAGAAAAAATAGATAGTGGACTGATTACTACTCTCCATATATTTCTTCTGGTAATCAACTGGTTGATGTCTTGACTAAGGGACTTTCTACTCATAGATTTCAACTTTCAAGAACTTACTAACAAGTTGGGAATAACAAATATCCATTCCTCAACTTGAAGGATAGTGTTGTAAATATTAGAGTTATCTGTAGTTAATATTGTATTTGTTTCCTTTTTCTTCTTAGAATTTCTTTCCTTTTTAGTATTTGGGTTTATTCCTTTAAACCCATTAGGCTTATATATATTGTATCCCTTTGTTTGTATTCTACACAATATAGCAATTATATTCACTCTTTCTTTCAGGTTCTTTTAATCTGATCTGTTCTGACCTCTGATTCACACCCTTAATCCCCTCTGGCCCAGGTCTCTGTTCATTTTTTTGCTGTGTTGTGTACTTCACAGTTCACTGTTCAAATTACACTAATTTTGATCTAACGAGTTCGGTATTTTTTTCTATTAAATTCATCATTTTATTTTTTGAATTCATTTTTATGTTCTCGTTGCTCTTTGCAGCAATGGCATCATCCTATTGTTATTGACTTATCAGTTATGCCTTAGATTGAAGCTGAATGTGTAAAGACTACGACTTTTGATTCTTAATTATGAGTATATCTTTAATTTTGCATAATATTTTATTTTTAAACATTCGCATTGTATCTATAATTGTCAGTACAGTAGTCATCCCACTACATAAGGGTGTGCAAAAAAATCATATGAACCAAACCGAACCGTGAATCGAACCGCACAAAAAGAACCACATTTTTTTGAACCAGTATATAACCAAACCATTTTCTCTGAACTGGTTCAGGAATCGAATTGTTTTTCAAAACTACAACTGAACCACTTTACTGGCTCAGTTTGGTTTAGGATAAAAAACCAAACCAAACCATACCCACCCCTAGAATTATGAAAAAACTATATGAATAGAACCAAACCGCACATTCTTTTGAACCAATTCAAAAACTGAATCGTTTCTTAAAACGGGTTTGGTTTGGTTGACCCAAATCACTTTATCAGTTTGGTTCCGTTTGGCATAAAAAATGAAACCGTGCCCACCCTTACCACTATAGCATTTTTGCCATTTACTGCTCCATTCCATGCCACTATCCAAGATTGATAACTATGCTAGCAATTACATAACAATTTGATCTTGATCCTCTAAAGAGCAAGGCATATTTATGAGCAACATGGGAAATTTTGGTGCATGGTATGTATTACGAACTAATTATCCTATAAGCTTAACCAGTTTGGTCATCTTTAACACTTCCCCTCACACAAGAGTCCTCCTTTCTTATACTAAAATTTAAATTTTATTTAGGATGGGGATAACAAGGATTGAGCTCTAAACCACTTGGTCATATAGGCTTTAATACCATGGCATGAAGCAATTACCCCAAAAGTTTAAGTTATTGAGTGAAAGCACATAAATGTTTTTATCTAACAATAATGGAATGAGATGCAAAACGTCACTTAAAATGAATACAAGATGGTATAGGTAAGCTTCTCTGGTATGCTTCAATAGGCTATACAGATTTATTATCCCAAAAGTTTAAGTTGTTCAGTGAAAGCACATAAATGTTTTTATCTCTAGCAATATTGGCATGGGGATGCAAAACGTCACTTAAAATTAATACAATATGCCACAGGTAAGCTTCTCTAGTATGCTTTAGTTGGCTATACAGATTTATTAAAATAATTATTTAAAACTTTTTTTTTTCCAGAATTCCTTTCATGTGTTTAAACCAAAAGTTATTTTTTAAGAGATTTCTAAACTAGGAATTGAAAAAATGAGTTTCATTAAGCCTTTTTTAATCAAAAGTCGAAACAAGGCATTTCACGAAGCTGAGAATATCTTGTTCCCTCCGCTAGGACCTCCCTCGCCACAATTTCAGAAATTCCCTCTGCAACAGCCACGGCCACTACTTAGTCCTTGGGCTTACTGCTATATTCTTCATTGGCTCTTGTTCATTTCTATTATGCGAACCAATTTGCCATTTTATACCATAGTTATATAGACAGTAGAAGTACCGTAATAAGGTATGCACAAACTAGATCAACGGATAAGTGGGACAAGCACAAATCTGGTAACTATGATGCAGGGTTGACTTCAGAGATTAAGGGCCTGTTTGAAGCACCTGATAAGGAAGATAGGATAGGATAACTTATCATATCCTACTTTTATCTCTTGTTTGGTGGGTCAATAGGATATGATTAGCTTATCCTATTGCCTCATTTTATCCTATCCAATACATGATTTCTTATCCTATGGGGGGAGCTGGGTTAGGATTCAACAGGATAGAATAATAATATTTAATACCCAATATATCCTCACGTTACCCAATATCCTCACTCTACCCAATATATTTGTATTTATTGCATTATATTTATTTTTTATTTTTTATTTCTCTTTTTACATAATCTTATCAGATTCCTAATCAGGTGCTCAACAAACACAAGAAAAGATATAAGCTTATCAGCCTCATATCATATCCTACCCTTATCAGCCCCATATCATATCCTACCCTTATCCTATCATGTCCACCAAACGAGCCCTAAAGTGCAAGCAGTAATGAATGATGAAAAAATCAAGAATTTGGAATTTTACATATGGATGCTTTGATATCCCTCTGCTCGTATTTTATAAAAATCTAAGTATTGTAAGTTTAATTAATAGTAATCAACTCTGCACTTTACCTTTTAATGTACACCCTACATTTTAGAGGATCCAAATACTCCCTAAGATTGTATTTTATAGAAATATAAACCATTGAATTTTTAAATTAATGGTTATTAACTACGCAGTTCACTCTCTAAAGCGTACCCTACACTTCAGAGGACCCAAGATCCTTAGATCCAACCTAAATGTTAATGGATTTAAAAAATTATTGCACACCAAATGGATAAAAAATTTAGATGACACGGAAAATATAGCCCATGCATGCTTTTGTACTTGTCATCTTGAAAAGCACTGACTTTTTAGTAATAAAAAGCAAAAGCAGTTACCTCGTTATGACGCACGGGGAGTTCATCAAATTCGGAAGCAGCAGATAAGACATGCAAAAAAACCTACACAGAAGAATCTAAGCATAATGATTTTAAATAAAAGAAAGCATAATTCAAACGATAATGTCAAAAAAATAGGAGAAAGAGAAAATTATAAGTCTTACTTCAAGTGATGTATCTGGAGCTATGTTTGAACCAAACATTGATACAGTCATATAGCTAAGGTAATACTGAGATGCTATTGAACCCAACATCGTGGGTGCCACCATGTCTTCATTCATCTTTATGCATCCACTGTCTTCCAAATCCTCAAATGTACTCTGTACTAGGCTGGCAAAAGAAAACTCAGTCAAAATACCATTGTTGAAAACACTGACATCATTCCATCAAGATGGGGTTCAGAATTATTTGGTATTTCATGTCATTACCTAGATAAATATGAACTTAGAAACTCAGGTTCAGCATTCTCCAATCCATAGTAGGCCGGATTAACCATCTGTCAAAAAATGGCTATTAAGCATGTATGTAGGACACTGATACGCAAATGGGTAAATCTACAAATACAAATACAATTTCGGTTCACTATTAAAACTCCTTGAGACAATATTTCTAGTTGAGGAAAAATTAACCTTTCAAGTAGTTAATTAAATCCATAAGTGGTCACTCATTAACCACTTTTAGAACATTGTTATACTTGAAAAATAAGGATTTGTGTATAATCTGAATTGTGTTTACAAATGTACAAAGGGTCTCTATATAAACAGACTGAATAACGTATTGGGCTAAGCCCAAGGAAGATTCTAGAATAAAATAAAATAATTCTATAAGGAATATTCTAGAATAAAATAAAATAATTCTATAACTATTATTTACAACACTCCCCCTCAAGCTCAGGAATAGATATTTATCATTCTTAGCTTGCTAGTAAAATCTTGAAATCTATCTAAGGGATGTCCTTTCGTCAGAATATCAGCTAATTGACACCCAGAGGGAATTATGGAGTGACGATCAACCCACTGTCAAGTTTCTCTTTGATGAAATGGTGGTCGACCTCAATATGCTTAGTCTGATCATGTTGAACTGGATTGTGAGCTATACAAATGGCGGACTTATTATCACAAAGCAGCTTCATCGGTCCTTCACATGTTATTATGAGATCATCAAGTATAAACTTGACAGTGGGTTGAAAAATAAGGAAAAATACAATAATCAGTGGTAGATCGACGATCAGTCACGGATCCAGCATAATCAGCATCAGTATAAACTTCTAAAGATAGATTGCCATCACGCCAGAATAATAGTACTTTACCGGGAGTGGCTTTAAGATACTAAAGAATTCTCTCCACTAACTGCATGTGTTTTTCTTTTGGATTATGCATGAACTGACTTACAATACTAATAGCATAAGCTAGGTCTGATCTAGTATGAGCAAGATATACCAGTCTCCCAACTAGCCGCAAATATTGTCCTCTATCAACTGGAAGACTCTCCTCTTCATAACCCATTTTGCGATTCTGCTCAATAAGAGTACTAGAGGGTTTACACCCAAGTTTTCCTGATTCTTTAAGAAGATCAAGGACATATTTCCTCTGACTAATAAAAATTCCTTTCTTTGAATGAGCTACTTCTATCCCTAGAAATTATCTCAATTTCGCAAGGTCTTTAATTTCAAATTTAAAGGCTAGTCGTGCTTGCAGAACATGTCTCTCCATAATATCATCCCTTGTTATAATGATGTCGTCCACATACACAAGGAGCACAATGAGCCTCCCGTCTTGGGAGTGCTTAAAAAAGAGTGTGGTCTCCTTAACTCTGTTTATACCCTAAGGTCATCATAACCTTAGTAAACCTCCCAAACCAAGCACAAAGAGACTGCTTCAATCTATATAAAGCCTTCTTTAACCTATAAACCTTATTTTCTCCATCCATAGAGTCAAAATTAGGAGAGGTTACCATGTAAACTTCTTCTAACTCACCATTAAGAAAAGCATTCTTCATATCAAATTGATTTATATCCCAGTTGTAATGGTCAACAAGGGACAACAAGGCTCTCACAGTATTTGATAAGTCCATGAAATGTGACTTGAAACATGTGGTTTTAATATGAAAATGTAAATGAAAAGAATATCTTGTGTATAATATTAACCCCAAATGCATTGAGTTGAATGATTATGATTTAAGTGTTAACGGGCTTTTATTTGTATTCTTCAGGCCCACTTGTGATACTGTCCAAGCAAAGAAAAGAATAGAAAGAAAAGCAAAGGAAAAAGAGTGGGCCGATCTTTTACAATGCAAATCAGAAGCCCAATTGAAGAAAGAAAAGAAAGAAAGGAAAAAGAAAGACTCAGAAGCGTGGAACTAAAGTTGAGATTTGCGAACCCTAGCACAGCTCCCGTGTGAGCAAACCCACCTCAACCCTCATCTCAAACCGTCCATCCTGAGTCCCTTCTACAAATCGACCCACCAAGCCATACCGTTCCTTTATTTCGGTCAAATCATCAAACCTTAGCCCTTACCCATGGTCCCGTAAGTGAGTGATTCAACGAAAACACTGACCCTAGCCATTTTGAGTGAAACAGAAAATACCGCACTGGCCGTAACTGACTGGGTGAGCTGGAGTTTTTAGGAGGGTAGGCTGAAGCAACTTTTGGAGTGCGGTTACTGCCTTTGCAAAGGAATCGCACGAGTGGGAAGAGCATGTAGCACACGTGCTGGCTGAGGTGTGAATCGTTCTGCATGAAGGAGCATCAACTATAAAAGGAAGGAGAAAAGCATTATAGGGCTCTCTCTTCTCTTCGTCTCTTTGGATTTTTTTTTAGTGCATCTGTTCTGATTTGGAGATTTGGATTTGTGTAATTTTTCCGAGTACTGTAGCAGAGTTATTCTCTGGGTATAGCTTCTGCCTCGTAATTTTTTGTTCGTAGGTTTTAATTTCCAGTTTGTAATTTCTCTTTGCTGTTTAAATGCTCATAAACCCATGGTGATGAGCTAAACTTTTTTAGAGTTGGGTTGAAAGAGTACCCAGAACTCATTTGTTATTAGTTGTTGTTTTAGAGCTTAAGTTTTAATTTCCAGCTTGTTTAACGTTGTGTTTTTCATTCTGAGTTTGATATGTGATGGCCACACATAGGCAACTCCTAGTGGTGTGGAATTATTGGGAAATAAGCCACACTAGACCTCACATTAAGCACATGGAAAGTTGAGTGAGATATCTCTCAATGGGTATGGCTTCAGAGATGAAGTTACCCTCATGTAACTTAAGGAAATGGTGCTTCAAGGTCTTGTATTAATGTATACACAGGGATGTGTCATCTGTTATTTATGGGAAAAATTGTTGTTGGGAAACAATGGTTGATTTTGTATTTTCGTTAAGCTGGAACTGTTGAAAAAGCAACAACTATTTTCTTTCAAGCAACTTAATAATAAATGAAGGAAGGGGAAATTGAAATCCAACTTGTTTTCAAATACTGCTTTTAAATCAATCTTTATTACCACTTCGTATTTTTGTTCAAATCAGAAATTCTAATTTTCTGTTCTAAAAGTTAAGAGAAAATCATAAAAAAAATATAAATGCTCCCATTTAATTAATTTCCAGTTAGTTTAACTTCCTGCATCAACTGAATCTCTCCTTTAAAAAGAAAATCTTCCCAAAAATATTTTCCTCACATTTAGCTTAGAATAACAGTTTGTTTATTTTGATTCTATTTTGTTTCTAGTTCCGATTAGCAATTACAATTTTCATTCAAAGTCAAAACCGCCAAAGATCCTTGTGGGAACGATAACTGGGACTCACAAAAGCCCTATATTACTTGTTATCGCGTATACTTGCGCGCTTACTTGCATAACTGTTAGCAAGGCAACAGTATTCATCTCTGCAACTGGGGCAAAAGTTTCTTCATAATCGATGCCATAGGTCTGAGTGTAACCTTTGGCGACTAACCGAGCCTTATATCTCTCAAGAGTGCCATCAGAATTATATTTTAGGGCATAAACTCATCTGCACCCTACTGCTTTTTTTTTTCAACAGGTCTATCAACAACCTCCAATTTTTTATTTTTCTCCTAGGCATTCATCTCCTCTTACATGGCTTGAGCCTAATTCTCATCTTTTAATGCTTCATGTACTGATTTTGGAATTGAGATAGAATCTATTGCTGAAACAATGCTTTTTTGCTGCACAGAAAGATTAGTAGAAGAGACAAAATGGGAGATAAGGTATTGGGTACAAGAGAGACAAGATCTTTGGGAACAATAAGCTTCATGTCCCAATCGTCTTCCAAGTGTCGAGATCTTGAAGGTTACAATGCAATTCAAATCTCTGGTAATTTTATGCAATTCAAGCGTTATATTGTCTCGGCTGATGTCACCTTCCTTGATCAACAACTTTTTCATTCTATCCCATCTCAGATAACACAAGTTGATCAAGTTCTTCCTGTTCCTTTTCTTGATTTGTCTTTACCAGTTGCAGGAGACTCTATCCCGGAGGAGCAGCCCATTGCCTCCATCCCTGAAGACCGTCCTTTTCTCACCTATCAGCGTCGTCAGACTGCGCCTCCAGCGGATTTGAACCTTATTGACTCACCGCCTGCTACTGTCGACTCTTCCCCTCCGGATCCTCCATCAGAAATTACTCCCATTGCCCTTCGCAAAGGTATTCGATCCACTCGCAACCCTCATCCACTTCATAGTTTCTTGAGTTATGATAGACTTTCTTCACCACATTTTACTTTTGTTTCTAGTATTTCGTCTGTTTCTATTCCTAAAACCACAGGTGAAGCACTATCTCATCCGGGTTGGCGTCAAGCGATGATTGATGAAATGCAAGCACTTCACTCCAATGGCACCTGGGATCTTGTTCCTGCTCCTCCCGGAAAGTCAGTAGTCGGCTGTCGATGGGTATTCACTGTCAAAGTTGGTCCTGATGGCACTGTTGATCGCCTCAAAGCTCGTTTGGTGGCCAAAGGTTACACTCAGATATTTGGTCTTGACTATGGGGATACTTTTTCTCCTGTTGCCAAGATGGCATCCGTCCGCCTATTTCTTGTCCTTGCTGCTGTTTGTCACTGGCCACTCCTTCAACTTGACATCAAAAATGCCTTTCTTCATGGTGATTTGCAAGAAGAAGTTTACATGGAGCAACCACCTGGTTTTGTTGCTCAGGGGGAGTCTGGACAAGTGTGTCATCTTCAAAAATCCTTATATGGTCTCAAGCAGTCTCCTCGAGCATGGTTCAGTCGCTTCAGTTCTGCCGTTCAGGCGTTTGGCTTAATCCGCAGTAAAGTTGATCATTCTGTATTTTATAGGATTACATCTCCTGACAAGTGCATCTATTTGTTAGTCTATGTTGATGACATCATTCTCACCGGAAGTGATCAAGACGGAATTCGTCAGTTAAAACAGCATTTATTCAGTGCATTTCAAACAAAGGACCTTGGGAAGCTGCGTTACTTCTTGGGAATTGAGGTGGCACAATCTAGACAGGGCATTTCTATTTGTCAAAGGAAGTATGCCTTGGATATCCTCGAAGAAACTGGTATGTTGGGGAGTAAACCAGTTGATACACCCATGGATCCTAATGTCAAGTTATTGCCCAGACACGGGGAGCCGTTATCTGATCCTGGACGTTATCGGAGGCTAATTGGGAAGCTCAATTATCTTACTGTGACTAGGCCAGATATTTCTTTCGTCAGTACGGCTAGTCAATTCCTTGATTCCCCTTGTGATTCACATTGGGATGCTGCTGTGAGGATCCTCCGATACATCAAAGGAGCACCAGGAAAAGGTTTGTTGTATTCGAATCAGGGAAATACAGAAATTTGTGGTTACTCAGATGCCGATTGGGCAGGATCACCCTCGGACAAACGCTCTACTTCCGGTTATTGTGTCTTCTTCGGAGGAAACTTAATCTCATGGAAAAGCAAGAAACAACCTGTTGTTTCTCGATCTAGTGCAGAAGCTGAGTATCGTGCAATGGCAAATACTACATGTGAGTTGATCTGGTTAAAACAGTTGATTCAGGAGCTTCATCTTTGTGAACAGAAACAACCCATGACACTCATCTGTGATAATCAAGTTGCGCTACATATATCCTCTAATCCTGTTTTTCATGAGAGGACCAAACATATAGAGATTGATAGTCACTTCATTCGGGAAAAGATTCAGTCAGGAGAAATCAAGACAGCTTTTGTCAACTCGTCTAATCAACTAGCAGATGTTTTCACTAAAGCTCTTAGAGGTCCTCGGGTTGAATACATTTGTAACAAGCTTGGTGCTCATAATATATACGCACCAGCTTGAGGGGGAGTGTTAGAATATTAGATATGATATGATTAGATATGATCAGATATTATTAGATATGATTGGATTCCGTCTTATCCGTAAATATTCTAATTGTATTAGGATTAGGTTTGGGCCTTTCACTTAAGCCCATTAGGGTCTCTATATATTGTAACTCTCTGACACAGATCAATACACAACATATTATTTTATATTCAAGTGATATGATAAAAAATTAACTTGCTATGCTAGCTTGTGACATGTCAATTGTCTGACATTTTTGTTTGGCAGTAAGATTCTTTTTCCACCTAGTTTTCCTGCCAGTAATGATGAACCAAATTTTTTTTTCTCATGTTATACATAATTGTCGAGAATAACTAGTACGAAAAATATCTTTCGTTTTTATGACGGAGAAAGGCGATATAAGAAGTTCATAAATGGAACTAGTTTATCCAAATATGACTTTTAATCTGGAAAAAAGCTCCATAACTCTGATTGGTCTTTCCAGACAAACATATGAACACTAACTACTTTGCCCTATTTTCTGTTTTAGTAGTAGTGAAGCACCAAAATTCACTTACCAGTCTACGGAATAAGTATGTCCATGTAAGATAATGCATTGCATCTTGTTTATGGCAAATTGTTCCAGAAATAATTTCGGCATTAATGTGATTATGCAGCTGCTCCCTCAAACTACTCTCAACAGGAAAGGGTTCATACAAGAACTGCAACATAAAAGAGCAAACTCAGCACAGTAGGCTATTCAGGCAAAGACAAATATAATCATCAATGTCGATTTTGACCTTTTTATAGAAGCTCTTCTTGGGTTCATGAACAAGAATCACTGCTTTCCCATGTTGATCAAATTGAGGCCGTCCTGCACGACCCATCATTTGCAATATATCAGTGATTGGAAAATCAACATACCTCTTGGTTTTTCCATCATAGAATTCTGTGCCCTGCAAAAGAAACAAAAAGTATTGTCAAAATAAAAATAAAAATTTGAAGATGATAACAGCAGGAGGTATTCAAATCTTCTGTCCCATATTCCTGTCCCCCCATTTAAGATATACTATATTCATGAATTGTTAGCATTTAATTTGTGGGACAAGGAAAGGTGGCCGACGATTACATTTTGTAGTGGAAATCAAAATATAATGAACTTTATTTTTGGTTGAATTTAAGATGTTAGCAGTCATGGACCCATGTCATGGGTTAGTAACACGGCCCCCTCCGGGATCCCAACTCCCTTCGGCCCAACAACGAAACAGTATGGCCCTACCCCCACAAGGTTTACATAGGGATCGAACACATTCATATTCATGAGAGACACATTTCACTTCCATTGTGCTACCCCTTAATCGTAAAACATAAAGATTTGCTTTTTACTGTTACAAAGGCATAATAGGTAAATTACATACATGTTTAAGGTGTAAAAGGGAGAAGTCAAAACTAGAAACCAATATATGGTAAGAGAATATTGCCGAGATAAATGGCCACTACTTGTATCCATTCTTAACAACATTGCTGCAATGCTGCCCAACACTTACATTTATCACTACTATCCTAATTAACATAATTATATGATTCTGACTACCCTATTTACAGAATCGGCAAGATACTATTTACATAGTTACCCACATTTACCAACAATGTCGCTCTAATTGGAGCATATAAGTCATATACATCAAGTTTGATACATATATAACTTATTTGAGGACCCATCAAAAATTTAGAGAAAACATCTGACAGCTAGTCATTTTGATTAACAAAGTTAGTAGTGATGTTGATAGGAATGTTGATGCAGTAGCAGAATCAGAACCTAACGCAGCAGGACCTGATGCAGAGTTACAGCCAAAACAGAAGAAATGGGCTGGCCCAATATTGGTCTATCAGAGCAGGAATAAGAATAAGGGAGGGAGAGTGAGTGACATGTAATAGGTGGTTATGGTTATGTTGTTTTGCATTGGCAGTTGTGGAGAGAGAATTGGGTGTGATTTGTTATTCCGTTGCTTTATAGTGGAATAGGGTAATCATGACTTACGTTTGTTTTTCTACAGGGTTAGAAGGGCTTGGAGAGCATTCTCCATAGCAGGGGGACTCGTGCTCTTTTCTGTTTTTCTTTTTTGTATTTTCTAGTATTCCTTTTTTTTTTTTTACAAAATTAATACAATTCACCCACTCTATAATGATAGGAGAGGTTTTTATCCTATCAGATGTCTCCAGATAAGATATTTTCTTTGAGGAAATGATAATCTATCTCAATGTGATTTATCCTCTCATGAAAAACACTTGATTCAATATGATGTGTAGTGCAATTTGATTGTAACCTGCCCAAATCAAGGTTCTTAAAGTAACTTTTTGAGCCAAATGAGTTTTGACCTTTCAACAACATAATATATTTTGCTCTTCTAGGATATTAGCTTATCCCGAGTGAATACACAATATCCTGAAGTGGATCTCCTATCAGGAAGGGAACCTAACTGATCACCATCTAAGCATCTAACGATCCAGGTGTGACCTATATCAGCACAAATGAGTCATTTTCCCATAGTCCTTTAATGTGCTTTAGGACATGAATTATAGCAACCCAATGACCTTCGTCAGGTGAATTTAAGAATTGACTTACCACACTAACTATAAAAGAGATGTCTGGACAAGTGACTGTGAGATAATTCAGTTTATCAACTAATCTCCTATATTTTCTTGTATGTGAAAGTGGCTCCCCCTAATTTGGTAGAAGCTCAGTATTAGGATTCATAGGTGTATCAACATGTTTTGCATTCAAGAAAGTTGTTTCCTCGAGAATGTCCATGGCATACATTCTTTAAGAAATTATGATTCCATCCTTTGATTGCGCCACCTCTATGCCAAAGAAGTATTAGTTTTCGAAGATCTTTTGTCTAAAAGTTATGACTAAGATGTTTTACCTAAGATATGCCAAGGTGATCACTACCTCCGATGACATGGAGTCAAAATACACAATCAAGTAGATGCATCCCTGAGTTGAAGGACAATAAAAGAATGAGTTATCAGCCTCCCTCCATTTTATAACGAACAATTCAACCACAAAGCTAAATTTGTCAAACCAAGCTCGAAGGGATTGTTTAAGGCCACAGAGATATTTGCGGAGGCAAATAACAAGTGTGGAAAACTCCCCTTTATTAACAAATTCAAGAGGTTGTTCCATATTCAGCTCTTCATTGAAATCACTAGGGAGAAAATAATTTTCATTCAAGGTTGTTAAGTCTCAATTCAAATCGTGAATCGTTAGACTGGTTTTTTGAATCAAGAATCATAAATTATATCAAAATGTATGATTCAAAAATATAATGAAAAATAGCTTACAATATATCATATAAATTATAGGAGAATCGAGTATCATGTTGCAAGAGGAACATCTAAGTGCAGCCTATATGGTGCTTAGATATCTCAAGAACACTCTAGGCAGAGGATTATTCTTTAGAAAGGGGTATAATAGGATGATTGAAATCTATACTGATCAGATCGGGAAGGTTCATCATTGAACAGAAGATCTACCTTAGGCTATTGCACCAATGTGTGAGGAAATCTCATAACTTGGAGAAGCAAAAAAAAATAGTGGTCTTTAGCCCATGGAGTCTGTGAGGGAATCTGGTTGAGAAGACTTCTTGAAGAGTTGAAGATCTCATACTTCTTACAAATAAAACTATATTGTGACAACAAGGCAGCTGTCAGCATCGCTTCCAGTTCACCATGAGCGAACAAAGCACGTGGAATTGCCACTTCATCAAAGAAAAATTAGATGATGGAAGTGTATGTATGATGTATATTCCTACCAAAGAGCAGACTGTAGATATCCTCACTAAGGGCCTAAACCGGCCAACCTTTGAAGACCTCATTGGCAAGTTGGGAATGATCAACATTTATCTTCCAACTTGAGGAGGAGTTTGGGAAATTAGGATTAGAATCTTTCTGCTTTTATTTCTTACTAATTAGTGATTGAATTTTTCCTTTAATAGGAATTTAAATTTTGAATTTGCTCCTATAGATAGGATAGGGCTGATGACTCATTGCTGAGTCATTCTAATCCATTCTTTTCTTATTTACTCTTGTATAAATACCCCCTATCAATGTAAATCAAATTTTTCAATTCAGAAAAACATTTATTTTATATCTTTCAATACAATATATAGGCTATTGGTATTGTATCATGTCGTGTCAACCCGCATAATGAGTGACACACTTGAGGTTATAATAGTTAAAAGTGGATTGCAGCTTGTTGCGGCCAACCCTAAAAAACGCTATAGCGGGTTGCGGATGTGGAAATGGCGGAAATAACGGAATGGATTAATAGAACCTAGATATACCACACATGTATATGCTAAAATATAAAATCAATCAATAATAATAAAGGATTGCTACAAAACATAACAATATCCAAATAGTCAATTAAAAGATCTAAATATTGTCAATTTTAAAACAAAACAATATCCAAAACAAGATAGCAAAAAAAGTATAACTACAAAATTCTCCTTAAGTTAAAAGGAAAATTCTATAAAACAGCAGTAAGACCTGCAATGCTATATAGAGTTGAATGCTGGCTAGCACATAGGCAACATGAGCATAAAATGGAAGTAGCAGAGATGAGGATATTAAGGTGGATGTGTGGTTATACGAGGATGGATAAGATAAGAAATGAAGATATTCGACGAAAGGTAGGAGTACTACCGGTAGCTGAGAAGATGAGAGAACATAGATTGAGGTGGTTTGGGCACGTAATGAGAAGGCCCCTAGATGCTCCCGTAAGAGCAGAAGTTTGTTACCAAGAGCTCAACACAAAAAGAGGTAGAGATAGACCGAAACTTACTTAGGGGAAGGTAGTAAAACAAGATTTAATGGAGTGGGATATAGATTGGCGGACGGTATGCCTTAGAACGGAATGGAAAAAAGCTATAAGCATGGTGGAGGGTTAGACCCGTTGTTATTCCTATGTTCCAGATGGTCCCTTTTTAGTCCTTTTCCCATTCATTTTCCCCTTTTCTTCTTTTCCCTTTCTTTTTTAGTTTTATATATATATATATATATATATTATTACTTTTCTATTTATTTATTTTTATATTTATTTTTATGTTTCTTTTTTCAACCTTTTTGTATCTTTCATTTGGGTTCATCTACCACGGACCCCAATTAATTTGGAATAAAGGTGATGTTGATGTTGATAACCTCCCTTTTTTAATTTATAATTTTTTTTCAAAAAAGATTATTTTGTATTTGAATAAAATTTTAAATTTATTTTAAATAAAAATTATGTATTTTTTTTTACTTATTTTACAAACAAAACATTATTAAGTGTGTTTAATAATTCACATTTGTAAAAAAAAAAAAATAAAGTATATAATTTTTATTTAAGTAAATTGAAAGTAGTGGGTAGACATTTTTTCCTTTTTAAATTTAATCTAATAAGAGGTGTCTAGCAAATAAACACGGGACTGTCATGTGTGTCAATATATATGTATGAAAGAATAACATATGACCAAACCGATTATGATAGCCAGAAAAAAATAAGTAAGAAAAAAAAATGAACAGAAAAAATAAGGGAAGAAGTCAAAAAAATAAAAAAAAATAGCAGGGTAGACAAAAAAGAGTAAGAGAAAGAAAAATAGGAGGGTAAAAATAAAAATAGGATGGAAGAAAAAGAAAAGAATAAAATAAAGTTAGAAACCTTACCGAAATAAAGAGAGGATGCACGAGTCAAGAGAAAAGGAGAAGCTGCCAAGAAACGAAGAGACAAAAAAGAGAAGCTGCCACTGGGAATCCTCAAAATTCAAATACGTGAAACCGTGGAATAGAAAAGTATCACACAACAAAGCTGCTGACTGGAATAGAGAAGCTTTTTTCCTTCGGTTGAGTGTGCCAGTGGGTTTAAAAATATAAAGTCCAAAACGTGAAAAGGGAGGCCCAATGTCCTTTTAATAATAAATAATAAAATGGACAAAAATATCCTTGTCTTTTTTCTATTTTGTATAGGCAAAACAGTATTTCTTCGTTTGCTTTTCATCCGCGATTTACAGCGATACAGACGCCATGTTTATCCGCTATTTGGATCGCTTCAAACACAATCTCTTTCCGGTGTGGTGTGGCGTGGCGCGGTGGTCCTCAGCTTGACAAATTATTCGTGTTGTGTCGTGTTAACCCACAAATTATTCTTGTACTGTAGGTTGCCGACGTGCGTAACGCCTATCTTTTGTTCTCTAGCCAGTAGGATGCATACACACATGACATGACATGAACATACGCTACATTATACACTATAATATACTACTCATACTACAAGTGAACCTAAAGTGGAGGAATCCTTGAGGACCCCTAGTTTACTGAGATTTGTCAAAATCTCACCCCATTTGGGGAATATTTTTCACGGGTTGATATTCATGAGATGGATGCATCTCGAGGCAAGAGATCGGAGTAAAGATCTTAGCATGACATGCATTGCTGTTATCTAATATTTTCTTATGCACATGAGACTTGAATATTATTATCACCATATTATGTATGTTTCATTTGATGTAAGCATAGGAGTTGTCTATGCCACATTTATTTTTGTGTCCATGCCATTCTGATGAGCCTATGTATATGTGCAGATAAAAATGCATAGGTTTATGGGATTTATGTATTTATATTCATTTTCATCATAGGATGTAATGATGTGATTGATCATGTTGGTCATTATTATGTAATAAGATTTATATATAAGATGGCCTAAGTAAAGGATTGCTAGGTGTCACGACTTATGCATGTAGAAATCATTTAAATCCCTTTAGATATGATAACTTAGGTGCCAAGAAAGGTATATAATAGTATGAATTAGCTTAATTAAACCATACACATGGTCGACACTATTGTATGTCTTCAATGAGGACAACTAAGTACAATATGAAGTGATATGGGGCAAAGAGTTAAATTCTAAACCCTCAGCTTGAAGAGAGATATTCCATTTCGCCACTGTCATGGAATATATGGATATTGGTAATCCAATATCCGGATATGATATCCGGATATGTCCCCGACATATATCCGGATATTCTGGGCAAACAGATGCAAAAACAAATGTTTAAAAAGAAATGCTTATAGACCTTATGGAATTTAAATATGGAAGGCTTAAATCCATCTCTACAGAGTAACTTAAATAAATGTAAAGGAAGATGAGAGTAACTTAAATAAATAATTTAGATATGATTGGATGTCTTAGTGTGTGTAATTGTTGAGACGTTATGTTGGAGAGCGTTTCTCTCATAGTACATAGTTTAAGTAGTGTGTAATTAAGAATGAAGGTAATTAGTAAATGAGATAATTGGGGAACAAGTAATATAGAATGAAATTAACTTAACATGCAAGTAACTATTATAAATTGATATAGAATGGAAAAAGTTTTGTCATGTGCTTACGCAAGATTAATTATGAATTAAAATGATTAGTTTCCGTATTTATTTGATTAATTAGCTGTGCTTAATATCACTCTGATGATAATACACCGGATACACACGGGGTGTTACATCGTGTCAACACGAATTACCACCCCTTATCAACACTATGTATTTGTCCCAAACCAAATGACGAAAGAAATGACTCCCAATAGAACGTATAAAAAGAAACAACTACTACAACTACATCACCTTGATAATCACTAGATGAGCCGGAAGATTCACACCCCAAGCCAATGTGCTGGTACAAACCAATACCTGCGTTGATATTATACAACCAATCAGTCAAGGGCAAGCCAAAATAACTGTATTTTTCAATTTATTTTTCTTTAAGACAAAGAAAAGTGCCAATTTCAATTTTTAAGGTGAAAAATGTGTGCCTGAATTTTGTTGTTTGCAAAAAGTTCCTCAACCAGAGATCTGTCTTTGTCATTCAAGCCTGCATGATGTAACCCGATGCCAAATTGTAAAGTATGCCTCAGGTTTTGATCAGAGACTTGAGACAGAACCATCAGCAGTGCTTCTTCTGGCATATCAAGGAATTGCCTTGAATGTTCATCTGAAGCAGCAAACTTCATTCATGGAGAAGAAGGATTAATAACAGTAAATCATAATGCAATAAATACTATTTCCCACACGAGATTGGATCTGCACCTGAATTAAATCCAGTGCAGTAAGTCTTGTCTGGCGTCGTGATGAGACAAATATAAGAACTGGTTTTGCCGGTGAATGGGTGCATATAGCAGCATATGCTGGTTTGTTCATACTGTTCATCCTTGGGCAGTAATACTTTCCAGGATATCCCTATAAGAAGGTCAAGTAATATTAACATATTTGTAAGACTTTATTTCAAGTGTCTAAAGAACCAATTCAACCCAAAAGCTTAAGCTATTAAGTAAAGGCCTCTTTAATGGTTTTATATATATCTCCAACTCGCTCCCTCACACGAGAGCTCACTAGGCTTGAAGAAGAACAATGCACAAACTCGCCTACCTGTGCTTAACAAAATCCACAATACTTAATTTTTTATTAATTAAACTGAGGACAATGAGGATCGAACCCAGGACACCAAAGCTCTGATACTATGTAAAGAATCAATTCAACCCAAAAGTTTAAGTTGTTAAGTGAAGGCCTCTTTAATGGTTTTATATATATCGCTAACAAAGTGTATGCAACAATTAGGGTTGGCTTGGTAGGAGTAAGCAGGTAAAGGTTAAGATGGAGAATTGATGTATGTGGAAATGTCTATATGCGTACCACATTTCCATTCCTCCATTACTCATGCTTACTACTACCAATCACACCCTTGTTATAATAAAAACAATTAACACGAAACACTACTCAAAGAAATGGTCATGTAAAGCCAAAATCAATGTGAAACACCATGTCCACTTGCCTGAATATGAACTTCCAGAGGTACAGGCCTCACACTTGGCTTGAAATTGAAGAGTCCAATCTCCTCAACGCCTAACCAATCAGCTAGATCACTACATATAGAGGGAAAACACAATTACAAGTCAATCGAACAAACTCCTATCCCATGCACTCTATCTCTCCCTACCACATATTCTCAGTCATCCACTAGAAATTGAAGTGTGTGCATAACCACTCCCCATTAACCCCAACTAGCAAGGGTGGGGAAAGTGTAATCCCTGTATGCAGCTTTACCCTTGCATAATTGCAAAAAGACTATTTTCCAAATTCGAACCCGTGACCTTTCAATCACAAAGGAAAAGTTTTATCATTATTCCAAGTTCACCCTCTAAGTGTGCATAAAAATAAAAATAAACAAGAGGGGTTTAAAAGAGAGAGTAGAGACTGCAAGATGATAGACAAATATTAGTGGAGATAAGAGTGGAGAAGAATATGGGAAACAGAAATAAAAAAGTAAGAAGTAATTATAAAAAAATTACCTTATTTACAGAAGGGTGTGAAAAAAAAAAAAAGTAAACTTACCCAGCATTAGCCAGAGCTGTAGAAAGGCCTATAAACCTTACTGCACGCTCTGTTTGTGATGATATGTATCTCATCCTAGAAACGATAACCTAGAAAAAGAAATTTCCTCACTTGAGCACTTAGAGAGCATCTATATAAAACCAACAGCTATAAAATGCACAGAAAGTTAATAGTAATGAAGTGTAACATTTTGCAGGAAAGAAATATCATTAGAGAAGAAATGGGTTAAGTACGAGAGCGGAAGATAAGATGTCCTCCTAAAAGAAACAAAAAAACACAAACCAGAGCACTCAAGAAAGACACATCAAGTATCAACTGAGCAAAGCTTGGCGATTCATATGCATGAAGCACTGTTGTACAAATAAAGGACTCAACCTTAGAGGGAGCTTTAGACTTCCAAATAGGTTTATCAAGGTGGAATGGAACTCTATTCAACGAATTAGATTTACATTAAAACACCCCAGAAAGATCAATAAGCCAAATCCCTTTAAAGAACATAATCAGGGAGACCCAAGAGAGTCAGTTCAGAACATTCCATATTGTTTCAATTAAGAAAAACGTGGAAATCTGATAGGGACCAGAAGTAGGACACTTACAGAAATAGTTAGATAATTCAGTTAGGATATAGACAGGATTAGATAGATAGATAGATAGATAGATAGGTAGGCGGATTAAAGTTGTTGGGAGCAGGGACATAGCTTAAATAGGAGGAAAGGCCGAAGAGGATAATTCAGATTCATTGGTATTGGAAATAGAGCAGTGGCTCAGTTGTAAAAAGGGAAAACCCTTAGAAGAATATCTCTCTCCTTTTCCTATAAAGATTCAGCAATCAATAACAGTCTTTATTCATTCATTCTTCCATACTATCTATTGGCTCTCTCATTCGTGGGTTTCTAACAAAATCCCAAGAAGTGGGATTGAACAGTATAAAAATTGTGGATAGGAGAATTTTGATAGGAAGATAGTCGACAACAGCATGGGAAAGCCAGAGACTAACAGATGAATTTCCTACCCAATAGTCCCCCCAAAAGTTGACATGAGAACCATTACCGACCTTCAAAGAAAGCAAAGATCTATAGGTAGTATAACCTTGTGATACAAATTTCCATGCGGTAAATTGTAAAGCTCAGGCTACAATATTAGCATCCCAATCACTCTGATTCTAGTGCTATTTCATTCATGGTTTTTTCCCTTCCCATTTATTTCTTCAGTCCTTAGAAGGCATCTTGTATATTCCCTGTTATCAAGAACCAACTCTTCCAAAAGCTTAAGACGTCATGTGAAAGCTCAAGAGTAATTTTATCTCTAACACGCACCCTTGCGCAAGAGACTTTTGGACTTGAAACATGAACAGTCATAGACTTGCCCTACCTTGCGCTGAAATTCAACTTTTAATTTAGAATAATGCGGGCACTCCTTACCACTTGGTTATGATGGCTCTAATAAGATGTCAAGAACCAACTCTCCCAAAAGCTTTAGTTGTTAGGTGAAAGCCTAAGAATAGTCTTATAGGAAACTCCTGTGTACTGTGTTGACCCCCACGGGTATCCCTTATAAGAAGTTCGGAAGGGAGATTGACAAACCCAATAAGATAGTAGGACTCAACATAGAAAGGATCCCTTACAAGAAATCTCCCCCCCCAAAAAAAAAACAATTGCATGTAACTACCTGACTCTAATTATAGTATAATATAATAGTTAAACGATTCACATTACCAAAAGTGCTATATGGGAAGAAAAAAAAAATTAACAAATGAGGCAGAAAGTAAGTAGTATGTTGCCACAGTTCATAAGCATATACCTCAAGGATAGGCCCACGATCAGCTCCCAATAAGTGAATCTCATCCAATATCACAAGTCCAACCTAGTGATCAGTGCCAGCACAATTCAAATTCGGATAGCTTCAATATTGAAATAATTTCAATACATAATATTACATACACCCACAAACACACATCATGACAATATGAATTCACCTTTGTGACATAGCTACGACTATGCCAATTACGACTAATACCATCCCATTTTTCAGGAGTAGATATGATGATATTTGCAGACAAGAGGGCCATCAAATCTGGAGTATAATCTCCAGTCATTTCAACCTGATAAAAAGCAGAATATCAATACCACCAATACCATATATAGTTTATGTCATATTTTTTTCCTTACCATCTTTTTCCCTAGTCGAGAAACAAGACGCTTTTTCCAATCGCTCATTCTTTCCCTAACGATAGCCTTCAGAGGTGCTATATAAATAACCTGCATGTTCATACAGCAAAGTAACTTACACATTTCATAATGTTACATAATATACAAAATAGGCAACAGACACAGTTATTTTGGTACACAACAATGCATAACAATAAAAAAAATAATTACACACGACATATACAGGAAGTTTCACCATTTTATCTACAGAAATGAATAAATGCAATTTATTATGCATTTTATTCTCTCACTTAAGTCTCACGACAATACATCAGTATAATTAACCACCTTAAGTTCCCAGCAAAAAAGAAAGCAGCATGACTTCCTTCAAATAAAATGCTAAACTCTCTCTCAACTGCATTAACAATTAACAAATTTAAATACAAACCTTCATATCAGGCTGAGTGTTGAAAAGACGAAGCATAGCAAGCTCAGCAGATACAGTTTTTCCACTTCCAGTTGGAGCTCCTAATAGAACATTATTGTCCGTGTGATACAAGACATGAAAAGTCTGCCCAAGTCCAGTAAAGGCATTACATAACAGTCTACATAAGTTGTTTATTCAAGTAAAGCCATGGTGTATAACCTAACAAATTTTGTCGTAAAGCGAATGAACCAGACCTGTGTTTGTATAGGATTAAAATGTGAAAATCTATATAACGCTTCATAAGCACTGTTGCCAAGGGAAGAAACAGGAAGAGGTTTTAAATCAAGTAGTTCTGTGTGAGCAGTACGAGCCTGAGGAAAATATAATCCAAGTGTGAGACAAGGATTGGTCAGGAACTAGTTACCATACAATAGATCTAGAAACCAAAAATGGAAATAAATGGACATGTAATACCTCTGGCAATGGTAAATTATGAAAAGTAATAGTGTAGAATGCCTCTGCATGAAGCCAGGAATCAGAAATGGCATGGATGTAATATTGTGGTGGATGTGGTTCAAATATAGGCACAGTGAAAGAAAGCTTGTAAGGTTCCCCCTTAGCCATCCGCTTTGTTAGGGTAAAGAGTTCAGAGTGGTAGATGTGATCATTCACGGAATCCTGCTCAAAATAGTTGATCATGCATGCAAGTTAGAGTTAGCAATTATCAAGCCATAACAAGCTAAAAATCTGGCAATGTAAAATGATGGATCAGAGAAAAGCCTACATGACATGCTTTCCCTGGCTTAATTGTGGCGTCAAAACACTTGCAATACATTTTTTCAGACACACATTTGACATTTCATATGCAAAAATATAAATATTTAAGCTAACAATCTAGATAAAATCAAACAGCAATTGGAGATAGACACATGGGCAACTCCTAAAGTTGTTTAAAATAAAATATTCTGGCTATGCTAAAAATCCAAACACACATTGAACAATACATACCAAAATATAAATACTTACAACAACCACCAACACACACACCCATTAGGTGGGATCAGCAACATGGATCAATCAATGACACTGGGGCTCTACCAAAAACAAAATTTTCAGTAAAACCATTTCGACCAAATCAAAATAAAAATAATTATACTAGATGAAATAGAAAACCATCTGAACATGGCATAAACATGTCAGCAACTCCTAAAGTTTCTTTGTCTCGGAGCCAATTTAGGATAATGTTAGGCTTTTGGCTTCCTTATGGTTCAAAACACAATTATTTACAAGAGTTTCCCAAACCGATAAGCAGAGGATTAGGCCGTTTTGATCCATTGATTTTCTTTTTCATTTTTTTTCCCTTTTTAGAGGGTGAGCCGGTGTGCCTTAGAGCAAGTGGTAAGGTTGCTTCTTTGAGACCAGAAGATACGGTTTCGAGTCTTCGGAACAGCCTCTTTGTAAAAAAAACATACGAAGGTAAAAATGTGTATTATCAACTCTCACCCTTACCCTTGCAAAGCAGGTAGTCTAGTGCACTGAAGTTTGCTTTGCCCAATATTTTACACGTTTTCATTATGGGTATCCCTTATCCTCTAGTTCCTTGTAATTTTCTTCTTCTTCTATTTTTGTCTTAATTAATTCCTTCATTTATAAGAAAAAAAATTAAATGAGTAATCCGAGGAGTCCAAATTTAAAAGTTAGGCCCACTTTGCAACAGACTTCTTAAGCCCAGTCTGCCACTTAAGACGCTTCACCAAACTACAATTTCGATGCCAAGGGAGACCAACTCTTATGGCGGGCTCTTTCCAGTTCGCTCATTGTCACTAAGGGAATCCATGTTAGTTTCTTTTCCTCCTATTATTAATTTTCTTAAACACAATGGGTAGCCTTGCCTGACTTGAGGTCTCGTCATGGGAGTACAGATGTCATGCATAGGTCACAAAGTCCAAACATGATAGATAGACAGACACACGCAAATGGTCTACAGCTTTTACCTCAGAAAGAATTTTTAACCAATCACAAGAGAATGAGCAAACAATTTGTAAAGTGACTAATCATCACATTAAAATTTATTCACCTCTACCAAAATCCACCAACGTTGAGCGGTACCATGAAAACGATCTTTCCAAATGAAAACAGGTGTTATGACCAAATCAACCTGAAAAAAATAATTGATTATGTGAAATTGGATATCATGGCTATATTATGTGATAAAATCAATGAAAAAATTGCAATCTGAGCACTCTGGAAGAAATTCTTCATCTCGGAATCACCTTCAAGACAGTTCTGGTTATTGGACTCACAGTTGCAGATAACTGAAGTGATGGAAAATACCCTAGGTATTGCTTGACCAACTAAAAATGGAGAGGGATAAGAAAATAATAATCAATATTTCTTCAACATCAGAACCCGCTTTCAAAGGAAATCTTTGAACACCATCCTACTAAAAGGTACATACCTTTCCTCCAGGTGCATAACGAATTAATGCCCCAATGTCTTTTTCCTCCATCTCCAGCAAGTGATCTAGGTCAGCCCCACGTTCTTCAAGCTTCCGCAGTATCTAGACCAACCAAAAAAGACTATCACACACCAAAGTGAAATATAGCTAGAGAATAGAGAAAAACAATAGTTAAGGGCAAACTTCTGCAGAAAGGTCCTTGTCGAATTGTCTAAGAGGATGTTGGTGCGGCCAAATTTGGCGATCCACAGCTTTGCAATAATCCAACATGAACAAAGACATCTCACACCAGCCTCTTCGCAAGCAAATCTCAAATAAAGCCCGCATTATACGAGCCAAGCTTGCACTTATGTATGAGGCGTCAGATACCAAAGAAAAAGAATCTATAGAGCCTCGAGATATGTACAACTGCAAACAACAAGTAATGCATTATTCACAAAATTATTCAGGTATGCTAATATTATAAAGAACCAATTCAACCCAAAAGCTTAAACTGTTAGGTGAGGGCTTCTTTAATAGTTTATATTATACTTTAACACGCCCCCTCACACGAGAACCCACTGGTCTTAAAGAGTGGATAATGCACAGGTCCACCTACCTGTGCTAAGAAAATTCCACAAGAGAAAGTGGAGGCGGTGAGGATCGAACCCGGGACACGAGGCTCTGATACCATGTAAAGAACCAATTCAACCCAAAAGCTTAAGCTTTTAAGTGAGGGCTTTTTTAATGGTTTATATTATACTCTAACAAATACCAAACAGGCAAACAAGGTCAACTGCTTAAGAAAAAAAAAACCTGAATCAGAATGGAAATCTTTCCATGTTTATTGGAAGGACCACCCTTAATTTCTAATGGGCACGATGTGCGTGCCAACATCTCTAGTTCATTCTGTTCTTCTTCTCGAACAACAATATTCTCAAATTCAGAAGAATGTGCAACCATGTTAATCACCTGGAGCGACAGAAAAGGTGAAAATAATGAAAAGACAAATTCTAATAATAAAATAAGAAAGAATGTCATTTAGACTGGATACATGTTTACAAAGGCATAGAACAAAGAACTGAACCAAGATATATGAGATGATGAATGACCAAATTGCACATCTTTTCCAATTTTACAGAAAAAAAAGTACATAATAATATGTATAAGAAATAAATTGTTTTTATAGTAGAATAGAACCTTTTTATGGAAAAAGAAATTTTCATAAAAAATAAAAGAATAAAAGTACAACAAAAGGCAGGCTAAGATATCATCAAAAGCATTAAAAATGAAAACACACACACAAACACACAAAAAAACTAAGAATGCAGCAAGGCTGCCCAATTTCTCTGCATATTGCATATGGCATCTCACTTGAAACAGCCATTGGCAGAACGCTAAGAGAAGCTAGAAACATAACTGATGAACCAGAAAATTATATTAAAGTAAAATAATGGAGACAAGCTCCATACAAACTCTTATTGCAGAAAAATAAACCAAAAGCTCACCCTTAGAACCAATACACCTAGGCTCCAAGAGATCCCCAATTCCCCCAAATATTCACTTAATTCATGCCTACCTCACTACACACAATCCCCCTCCTTTTATCCTATTCTTTAAGAATATTCTAGAATTAACTAACACTCTATTTTCTTTCTCTATAACAACCCCTATACTATTATTACATTTATCCCTCATACATAATTTATCCCTAACTTGAAACAGCCATTGGCATAACACTAAGAGAAGCTAGAAACATAACCATGTCCCAATTCAAATTTAAGAGCATAAAAAAACCTTAAAATAGAATTCAATAAGTGTGATCACAAAACTTTAGCAGTAATTAAAACCTTGTTTGCAATAGATTATAATCAATAACCTCACTATCATTCATGTGGCGTCTCAACATTTCATTGTATGTTTCAACACTGGAATATTGAATGTAAAAATGGCTTGCAATGCGACCAAGCTCAGTACAGTAAAAATTGCCACTTTTCTCATCAAACCGCATCATTTTTGCTTTATCAAGTGCACGTGCAGCATCAATTACAAGAGATCTTTGCTTAGAGCGTAAAGCAGGATCTGCCATCACCTAAAGCATAGAAGAACAAGAAATCACCAGTGTTGCTCTAGACAACATATAAAAAATTACCATTAAAAAATCTTTGAATGCATACAGAGAATCACCAAAAAAAAATTCAAAATAATAAGTGAGACACTCTAGGGAAAATCTGTGAAACACAGCAAATTATCAACTTTCAATTTTAAATTAGTGGTATCTATGCATTCTTTCCATGCTTTTTGTAAAGAACCAATTCAACCCAAAAGCTTAAGTTGTTAGGGGAGGGCCTCTTTAATGGTTTATATTATACTCTAACATGCCACCTCACACGAGAACCCACTGGGCTTGAAGGGTGGATAATGCACAAGCCCACCTACCTGTGCTAAGAAAATTCCACAAGAGAAAGTGGGGGCGGTGAGGATTGAACCCGGGACACGAGGCTCTGATACCAACTTGAATATATAATAATATGTTGTGTATTAAGCTAATACAAAGAGTTACAATATATAGAGACCCTAATGGGCTTAAGTGAGAAGCCCAGACCTAATCCAAAACTAAAAAGGAAAAGAATATTTACAGATAGGAAAGTAATCTATACAAATCTAAACAAAATCTATATATATTATATTTCGTATTCCAACACACCCCCTCAAGCTGGTGCGTATATATTGTGAGCACCAAGCTTGTTACAAATGTATTCAACCCGAGGACCTCTAAGAGCTTTAGTGAAGACATCCGCGAGTTGATCATTAGAGTTGACAAAAACTATTTAGATTTCTCCCGACTGAATTCTTTCTCGAATGAAGTGACAATCAATCTCTATATGTTTGGCTTTCTCATGAAATACAGGACTAGAGGATATATGTAGTGCAGCTTGATTGTCACAAATGAGTGTCATGGGTTATTTCTGTTCACAAAGATGAAGCTCCTGAATCAACTGCTTTAACCAGATTAACTCACAAGTAGCAATTGCCATTGCACGATACTCAACTTCTGCACTAGATCGAGCAACAACAGGTTGTTTCTTACTCTTCCAAGAATTAAGTTTCTTCCAAAGAAGACACAATAACCTGAAGTAGAGCGCCTGTCTGAGGGTGATCCTGCCCAATCAGCATCCGAATAACCACAAATTTATGTATTTCCCTGATCAGAATACAACAAACCTTTTCCTGGTGCTCCTTTGATATATCGGAGGATCCTCACAGCAGCATCCCAATGAGAATCACACAGAGAGTCAAGGAACTGACTAGCCGCACTAACAGCAAAGGAAATGTCTGGCCTAATCACAGTAAGATAGTTGAGTTTTCCAACCAACCTCCGATAACAACCGGGATCAGATAACGGCTCCCCCTGTCCGGGCAATAATTTGATAGTGGGATCCATGGGTGTATCAACTGGTTTACATCCCAACATACCAGTCTCTTCTAGGATATCTAAGGCATACTTCCTTTGACAGATAGAAATGCCCTGTCTAGATTGTGCCACCTCAATTCCTAAGAAGTAACGCAACTTCCCAAGGTCCTTTATTTGAAATTGACTGAAAAAATTCTCTTTTAACTGACGAATTCCAGCTTGATCACTTCCAGTGAGAATGATGTCATCAATATAGACTAGCAAATAGATGCACTTATCAGGAGATGTGATCCTATAAAAAACAGAATGGTCAATTTTGTTGCGGATTAAGCCAAAAGCCTGAACAGCAGAACTAAAGCGACTGAACCATGCCCGAGAAGATTGCTTGAGACCATATAAGGATTTGCGAAGTCGGCACACCTTCCCAGACTCCCCCTGAGCAATAAAGCCAGGTGGTTGCTCCATGTAAACTTCTTCTTGTAAATCACCATGAAGAAAGGCATTTTTGATGTCAAGTTGAAGGAGTAGCCGGTGACGAACAGTAGCAAGAGCAAGAAACAGGCGAACTGATACCATCTTAGCTACTGGAGAGAATGTGTCACTATAATCAAGGCCGAAGATTTGAGTAAAACCCTTTGCAACTAAGCGTGCCTTGAGACAATCAACATGGCCATCAGGTCCAACCTTGACAGTAAAGACCCAGCGACAACCAACTATAGATTTCTCTGAAGGAGCAGAAACAAGATCCCAAGTGTCATTGGAATGAAGTGCAGTTATCTCATCAAGCATCGCTTGGCGCCACCCTGGATAGGAAAGTGCTTCACCTGTGGTTTTAGGAATAGAAACAAAAAAAAGACTAGAAATAAAAGTGAAATGAGGAATAGAAAGATAGTCATAGCTCAAAAAAGTATAAAGAGGATAAGGGTTAAGAGTAGTATGTAAGCAAGAGTCAAGTCAGAGGAGGCACAGTTCTACGATTCTGATAGGTGAGAAATAGACGTTCCTCAGGTATGGAAGCAATAGATCGCTCATCTGGAATAGAGTTACCTGCAACTGGAAAAGACAAGTCAAGAAAAGGAACAGGAAGAACATGATCAACCTGTGACAATCGAGATGGGATAGAATTAAAAGGTTGTTGATCAAGAAAAGTGACATCAGCGAAGACAAAATACCGCTTAAGATCAGGAGAATAACAACGATAACCCTTTTGAAGACGAAAATAACTAAGAAAAATACATTTACAGGCTTTAGATGTTAACTTATCCTTACCAGGAGTGAGATCATGAACAAAACAGGTACAACCAAAGACATGTGGAGATAAGGGATAGAGAGAAGCATCTGGAAGCAACAAGTTATAAGAAATGTCATTATTAAGCACACATGAAGGCATGCGGTTGATGAGAAAACAAGAGGCAAGAACCGCATCAGCCCAGAAGTGAAGAGGAACATGCATGTGAATAAGAAGAGTCCGTGCAGTTTCAAAGAGATGTCTATTTTTACGTTCGGCTACTCCATTTTGTTGTGGAGTGTGAGGACAAGTAGTTTGGTGTAAAGTACCCTGTGTGGCTAAGAAATTAGAAAAATCAATAGATACATATTCCTTAACATTATCACTACGTAACATATGAATAGAAGCACCAAATTGAGTATGAATCTCAGCAGAAAATGTTTGATAAATAGAAAACAACTCAGAACGATTTTTCATTAAATAAATCCAGGTACAACGTGAAAAATCATCAATAAAAGTAACAAAATACCAAAACCCTAAAACAGACACATTACGACTTGGACCCCAAATATCTGAACAAATAAAAGAAAAAGGAGCATCAGTTCGTTTATTGACTCGATTGGCAAAGGAGAAGCGTATGTGCTTCCCTTGCTGACATGACTGACAATCTAAATTTTGAAGACAGGATAAAAGAGGAACCATCGTCAGCAATTTTGAAAAGCTAGGATGACCAAGGCGACTATGGATGAGTTGTGGAGATTCAGTGAGAGAACAAGCAATTGAAGGAAGAGGCACAACCAGGTAGAACAGACCTCGTGACTCACAGCCCACTCAAATCGTCTTTCCCATACCCGGATCCTGCACAGAAACAGAATGGTTTGAGAAGGTAACAATACAATTAAGAGAGCTGATCAATTTACTCACAGAAATTAAGTTATAAGGGATGTTAGGAATGTAATAAACAGATGTCAAGGTCAAGGAAGAGGTTGGAAAATTTGTCCAATCCCATGAACAGGGGCTTTAGTGCCATCAGCAAGAGTAAAATAGGGTAAATTATCAGAATAAGTAAGAGATGAAAAGAGTTCCTTATTACCACAAAGGTGATCAGTAGCACCGGAGTCAAATATCCAAGGACTAAGTGATGCAGAATGAGAAACACAAGCAATGGGATTACCAGTTTCTGTAGCAGAGGGTTGAGACTGAGGAGAAGCCTTCCTGAGAAGAATCTGGAGTGTTGCATAGTCTTCAGAGGAGAGAGAGACTGTACCAATTGAAGCAGTATCCGATTGAGCTATATTAGCAGCATGAGAGGGTCGTAGGTGAGGATGCTTTGTGTAGCAACGTTCCTCATAATAACTGAGTTGCTGACAATAATGACAACGAGGTAGCTGACCACGTCCGCCTTGACCACATCCTCCCTGGCCTCTACCACGACCACAACCACCTCCAATGTTGCCGCGAAAGTCAGTACGGGAAACTAGAGCAGTGGAATCAACAACAGAAGATGATGCAGGAGCAGATTTCTTATTAAGGTTCAGAAGACGCTGATACGTAATTGATAGATCAACATCCCCACTGGTCAAGATAGTATCCCGGACATTGTCATATTCTTCGGGAAGACCAGAAAGTGTGGCAACCATAAAGAGACGTTCCAGCTGTTTCCGATATGCAGAAGCATCAGTAGGGTAGGGCAACATATCCAAATATGTCTGCATCAAAGATCGACTTTTGCCAACATGTCTCCATCTGAGTGTCAGATGATTTGCGCAGATCCACAAACTGAGACAAGATGAAATAGAGCTGTTGAACATCATTAGGTAGTGTTTGGTTCGATGCTTCTCAAAATTTTCCTAGCAAAGTGAGAACGGGTTTCTTTCTTCTCCACGTTTGGTAAATGGATTTGGTGTCTCTTCCCCATCAATGATGTTTGTCTATCAATCTATGATAACAAAGGAAATCCAATTTTGAACAGTGTTTTGAAACCCTTTTGTGAAGGTGGTTTTCTCCGTAGAAAGCGGATATCTGAAAATGGTGGGACATGCACGACAAATATACCCCTCCAATCTTAACCACACGTCGACTACGCCAAAACCATGTATCATTCTGACAAAACTTGAGATGCGAGTTGAGGGTTTAGAATTTCATCACTCCTTTTGAAAGCCACAATCGAAGGAACAATTCTTGAGATATGGTTTGGGTAATCTTGATTTGGAGCATTGCCAAACTGTGTGGCTTGAGGAAAGCCCATTTAGATTCAGGCCAGATTGGGAAAAACATGTTCTAAAGCGTCTAAACCCGATGTACATGATGATGTTTTCTAAATCATATGATGATATTAGTGAAGTTTCAGTTGCAAATTATGTAATTCTGATAGCTGGCTAGTCCATCAAACCTCCAAAGTGATGTTGTTTTTGCAGAAGCTGGCCGCTTGGAGAAGACAGGACAAACAGAGACGAAGAAGGTTAATTTTGTCATTTTAATTCTTTTTCCTGTCAAAAACTTATTTTCAACCAAACATACATCAGTTTATTTAACCCAATTTTCCCATCTATATTTTGCAGTACCAAACAACTTTTTTTAAACTTTCCTACCAAACTTACTTTCCTTCCATTTTCCTATCAATTACATTTTCCTAGTATCAAAAAATTTCTCCTGAACCAAACACTACCTTAGTGTAGAGGTGTTTTGCTTCCTCCCACACTTCATTGCATGTTTGAAAAGAATAGAAAATATCCAAGACGATTGGATCAATAGACTGCCAAAGGATACTCAGAAGTTGGTTGTCAATTCTATCCCAATCGGATTTTTCTTCTTTAGGAATATCAGTGGATTTAGTTGTAAGATGTTGTCCATGTCCCTATCCAAAGAACCAAACTCGAACAGAGGTAGCCCAATTTTTGTAATTAACAGAACCCTTCAGTTTGGAAGAGGTAATGGGCCCAACATTGGTGGAGATGACATTTGAGGAACTTTTGGCAGGACGAGTGGGAGAACTGATCCCTGATTGAGCAGGAGAAGATGCTGCCATTATAAAAAATCACAAGGGTACAGAACCAAGTGAACAGAAACTAACCTGATTGCAAATTAAGAAGAGGCACACACGAAAGTGAGACCCACAAAGAACCAACCACAGATCTGGAAAGAGGAGAAGAGGGCGAGCCTGTCTGTCCAAGAACGGCTGGAAAATGACGCCGGAACAGTGCACACGCGCCGGTGGAAGGTTGCGCGTTAGCACCACCCGTAGAGAAGGTGACGGGGTGCGACGGCAGTGGGACTTCCACAAAACTGGTCATCGGGAGGAGAGGGACTTGATCACAGGTGTTCTGGTTCAAAAACTCGCCGAAAAAATTCTCCGATGGCCGGAACAGTGACAGACGGTGGTTCCGATGGCGGTCGGAGGTGCTGACGCGTTCGGAAATAATCTGAAGGAGCTTATAGCCCTAGATGGCTTGCGGAAGGACGCACGGCAAAGAAAAAAGAACTCCTAAGCAATGGGCTTAGGTTTTAAAGCGAAAACGAGGTTCTAAGCGAAAGCGAGGGTCCCCAAAACAAAAGAGCTCTGAGATACCAAGTAAAGAACCAATTCAACACAAAAGCTTAAGCTGTTAGGTGAGGGTCTCTTTAATGGTTTATATTATACTCTTAACACTTTTGTAAAATGTGTGAAAAGGTAAAACTAATGATTTGGAGCATATCAGAAAAAGAATATACAAATTCCTTTTTTGTGTAAGTTCTTATTATTTTAATTACTAGGTTGACACATAAACTGGTGGGGTAAGGGCAGGCTAGATGTAGTTGGAACAAGCAAGAAGCACACCTAATAAGGCATCTGAAATACTGGCAGACAAGTGCGTCCCCAAATCTGAATAGGAAATATGTAAATATGTATCTGTACTACACCATTTCCTTATTGCAAACAATAGTACAGCTTCTTAAGTAGAGCCTTCTCTCCATATCACTACTTCCATGTTTCAGGTTTCGAATACTCCTACTTTCTAATGATTACAGGATATCTACCCTAAACAATCCAAAATTTACAAACATTTGTAGAACTAGTTCAATAAAGGTAAAGTTTGGAGTTAGGTACCTCATCCCACCCAATACCATAAGCCAAAGGATTCATTCTCATCCTTATGAAAAGATATGTGTAGCCAAGCCATGCACAAGCTTCCTTAACATTAGTTACAGTACCCAATGCCACCTCCGCATTTAAATTATCTTTCAAGGAGCTAATAAACTGCAAATGACGAAAGAAGTCAGTAAACCCAATACCAAATACATTACAAAAATCTTATGCATGATCCAATTTGCAGGCAAAATTTCAAAGTACACACATGAACATGACTGCCTCACCATTTTCCTTGTCATTACCTGGCTTTCTATAGGTAGTTGACTTGTCAGCAGTCGCAGATAATATGCTAGTTTGTCATGAGATGTAATTATGATACCTTCACCACTGTTGTCAAACTGAGGTCTCCCAGCTCGCCCAAATATCTACAACAATATATCATAGAAACAATATCTTAGCTAATGTTAAAAAAGAGCTTCATGTGTTCTTAATACAGGAAACTCCATGCTTTACCTGCATAACATCAAGCATACCCAGGTCTTTCCACCCACCAGCTTTTGGATCATATAATTGGGTACCCTGGAGAACAACAATCTTTAGATCAATTTACAAATTACAAGATAAAAGTAACTCAAGACCCTTAAGAACCTAGTAGGACATAATAACTTGATGCTAAATCCCTGGAAAAAATAAATCTGAAACCAAGCAGCTGGATATTGGGTATGACATTGTACAGGATATAATCAGTAGTAGCCCGTCATCAATTTTTACACATTGGCACTATAAGACTCCACTACAACAATTATGTGTTAGCAAATTAGGATTTTGTCCAGAATTAGAACTCCACCTAGGAATGTATACATAGCCTATCCCAAGCAAGCACAAAGGAGGGTTGACGTCAGGCGTAGCGAGCTGGCCGTAAAAGAAAATAACTATCTTTATGAGATAAATACTTATGATTTTTCATTGGAGCATACCCTTCTTAGTGACATGTTGCATCGGAGCCCGGGTGTAGCAAAAAATGGGCTAGGTTCTTTGCCGCAAGGCAAGACGCACATCATCACCCAGATATGGTGAAAAGTATGCTAGAGTGTTCACACATTTATGGGCAAGCACATAAGGCAAAAAATGCCTAAGGGGTAAGGATATAAGGATATAATTGGGAAGCTAGAATAAAGGAACCTTAACACATAAGTTAACGAAGTTAACAGATACTTTTGTTAGGAGAGTGAATTTTAATTTCCTACAGGACATAAATGGGTTGCAAAAAAGGCTAAGGAAGTAGAAGGCACCAGATTCATGTTGTGGTACACAGGCATAAATAAGAGTAAAAATGGAGTTGAGATTACGGCGATAAGAGTTTCAGAGATAGAGTTGTTGATGTCAGAAACAAAAGAGATAGAATTATTTTGGTTAGACTTGTAGATATGATTTTTTTTAGTTTGAAGACTTGAATTTCCAGTAGTTTGTAACTTTGTATGGCTTCATTTTGATATATCTAGTGATTTATATGGCTGAAATTTTAGGCTTTCCTAAAAATCGAAAAACGATCCAGTCCAAACTGAATAAAATTGGATTGGATTGGATCGAATTTAAAAAAAATCCAAACAAACCGAAGTGATTGGATCAGATGACTTTTGCTTCAAAACCGATCCAATCCGGACAGCGAACACCCCTAAGAGATGAAGATATTCGACGAAAGATAGCAACAGTATCCATGGCTAAAAAGATGAGAGAATATAGATTGAGATGGTTTGAGCATATAATATGAAAACCCTTAAACATAGTAGTTAAAAGCGGATTGCGGCCTATTGTGGCCAACCCTGAAAAACACTATATCGAGTTACGGTTGCGGAAATAGTGGAATGGATTAATAGAACCTATATATACCACACATTTATATGCTAAAAAATAAAAAACAATAATATTAGGAGACCAGATCAGTATTGATCTTCTTTTTTTATTGACAAAAAAAAATAGGAGACCAGAAAAGAAAAATAGGAGGTCAGAAAAAAAAACCAGAAAAAAAAGTTCAAAAAAAATAATCCAGAAAAGAAAAACAAAATAAGAGGCTAGAGAAAAAAAAAAGTCAAAATCATTACCTAAATGAAGAGAGGAGAGATGATGAGTCAAGAGGGAGGAGAGGAGAAGCTGCCCACTGCCAATGTTGTTCAGATGAGTCAAGAGATAGAGATAGAAAAGAGAAGACATCGATTGAGATAATATTCATTTTGTTCAAAGTGATTGTAACAGTAAATTTATGACTCTTAAATTTGTATATATAAAATTATATATATCTTAGAGGACAAAAAATATGTGGCTCACACTTGGAAAAAACAATTTACTAATTCTTTTATATAGCTTGATTGTTTAAATTTTTTTTTTTTAAACAACTACTTAAAATTTAAATAATAGCTTTTGATATATTTTTTTATCCATAAAAAATAAATCTTTAGCTTTTGTAACTGCTGCCCGTGACTCGTGTGGGAAAAAGTATATTAAAATATATCGAAACCCAATACAAGTCACGTGGGTTTGTGGGTTTGTTTCGACGTCTTCAAATTTATAACGCAGAAGAGAGAGAACTCCATTTTTTAACGCAGAAGAGAGAGAGAGAAAGCGCTTTGAATTCATTTTGAACCGCTTTCAGCCGCGATTCCTCCGCTATTTCGGCCACTACAGACACTATCATTTTTTGGCGCAGTACGGAGCAATTTCTCACGGCTGACCACCGCAACCCGCGAACAGAGCGGGTAGCGCCGCTTTTAACTACTATGCCCCTAAATTCTCTTGTAAGAATAGAAGTTTGTTACCAAGAGCATGACACAAAAAGAAGAGGTCGGCCAAAATTTACTTGGGGGAAAATAGTAAAGCAAGACTTAACGGAATAGGAAATATAGGACAGAGTGGAAGAAAACTATTAACTTTGTGGAGGGGTATACCCATTTTTTCCAATGTTTCAGACGGTCCTTTTTAGTCTGTTCTCTCTATATTTATTTATTTATTAATTTAACTTTCTTATTTACATTTTCCCTCTTTTTTATTTTTTCTCTTATTTATTTTTTCTTCCTGAATCTTGTTTTTACTTTTATTTGCATTCATCAACCGCAGACTCAAACTAGTTTTAGATAAAGGTGAAGTTGATATATATATCCAAGAAGCCTAGACTGTTGTAAACTCGTATCAAAAGCTACTACATGCTAGAAAACACCAAAAATCTCTATGAAGGACCAACTCTCCTAAGTCGTAAATGCTTAAAGATGTTATGGGTGCATGCATAGGAATGGTTATTATTTTTACTACCCAACCTCACAAAAACCCTTTCAGCCAAGGGTGGATAAAGCACAAATCCATCATACTTAGTCCTTCAAATAATTTATGAAGAAATAAGAGCAGGATCTAAATCTTAACCACCTAGTCAAAGAGGTTCTCACAATGAAGGACCAACTCTCCTAAGACTAAGATCTTAAGCTGTTAGGTGCAGGCCCCAAAATGTTTTTTTATCTATGCAACTGCAAAGAAAACTATTAATAATCAGCAGTTACAATATCACGTAGCCCGCTAATTAAAGAAACATATAGATTACAACATATGACGAGTCAAACATGGATCAAGCTAAATCATAAGGCAATTAGATAAGGAAAACTTAAGGGTTGTAGAACTATTCTGAAAATTGTGGAAGTCAAGAAGACTAGATCCCATAGCCAATCAATAAAAATTGAAGTGTAATATGGGCAAGTTGACTGTAAAGAAAGTGAAAGTATAAAGCAAAAGACAGTTCATGAGTACAAATGTACAATACAGTTTGACAATCGGTTCTGGTAACACCAGTTCTATTTTCTTATTTTCTCTAAATAAATACTTATTGTATTTTGTGGGGGGAAAAAAAAGCAGAGGACATCAAAACCATATCTCTGTTTGCCGTTCAAATTATGAATGCGATGGTAATCTCAGAAGCACGGACACGGCTTTTCAAAAAAATTTGCATGTCGGACACGGACACGCGGTCAACATTTTGGGACACTCGGTCAACTCTCCGACACGTTTTTCCGACACACAGTCAACTTTTTCTGACACGCGGTCAACGCTCTGACACGTTTTTATTTTTTTTAGTCTTAATTTTATTTTATTAACTAAATATAAAAAAAAAATTATAAATTAATTTTTTTCTGTTATGAAATTTGACATGAAAAATTAACAAAGTACAAAAAATTATTTTTGTTTATATTTATGTTATGAAATTTAAATATTTGATTGGTTATATGACTTATTATGGACTCGTATATGTATTAAATATAAATTATATTATACATATTAAAAAAATTATTTAATATCAAAACGTGTCTCAACGTGTCGAAATATGACATTTTTTAGAATTAACGTGTCGGTGTGTCGTGTCGTATCGTATCCCGTGTTGGTGTCGGTTCTGGTGCATCATAGATGGTAATAATCACAATAATAGAATTCTAATGTCACACAACACCACGCAAGCATGTGCCTGTTATCTTTTCCAAGATTCGACAAAAACACATGCAGTTATGCACATAACACATTAGGATATATCGAGAGCAGGTGTGAGTGTTAAACTAAAGTTACAACATTAAATAGCTCTTTGTCGAATTAAATTTCTATGAAACCCGTGATTGGATTAAAAGCTGAGATCATATCATATAGATCAAGCTAATAAAGTTTTGTCATAATCAGAAAATGATTTAGGTTCTACTGGTTCATGCACCATATAATAATTGTCCAACATAATTTCTAAACCACAATGTTAAGATGTATGAATTTCTAGAACATATTAAGCGGTTGACAGATGTTAGAATATCCCCAAGTATCTCTAGTGCACTACATTTTCTTGTGATCTGTCTCTGTCACTTTTCCCTTTTCAATCTAATACCTAAAACTTCAACAAATAACAAATTATTCACAGCTAGATTTTCAACTTAAGAATAACCAATTATTTATAGAAAAATTGGATTGATGAAAATGAAATCTAATTTATAGAAAACAAATAAGATAGAGAAATCTGTAGTAGAAACCTTAATGACAACTGTGTGGGCAGGTAGATTGACACCCCATGCCAGAGTTGCTGTACAGACAAGTACCTAAAAGCAGTAAAAGCCATACTTATATTAACCTACAGGCAAATTTTAAAAGTCTAATCTCGAAAAACTAGAGAGGGATAAGCTCTACCTTCAGAAGTCCATCAGAGAAAAGCCGCTCAGTAAGTCCTCTATCTGAACGTAACATCCCAGCATGATGAATACCCATGCCAAATTCAAAAAGTTCAACAAGATCTTTGTTTCTGGATTTAATAACATCTTTCTGCAATGCATAAGATAGAAAATCTCCGAACTCAAAAGAAGCATAGATATCATTAGAAAAATCCAAAGAAATGTTTACTGAACCTACCTTTATAAAGGTAAATTGCGGATGTGTACTATTACTAAAGAGTTCCAAGTCCTCATTTCTTCGTGCAAGTTCAACCTATTGAACATGACATACAAGTGATGATACTAAAAGCAAAGCATGGGAAGGTAATAGTACAATCTGATCACAAGCACAGAAGTAAATAGTACAATAATAATGGTTTAGTAAACACTCCAATTCAAGGACAAAGAACTACAAATCAAATGACATGACTACATAAAACTTCCAAAATGACAAACCAGTTTCTGAGCAGTCTTTGCAGTGTCTTTTCGTGAATGGACAAATACCATTGCCTGATGGCCTTGTCTAATAGAATCAACAACCTGGTTCAAACAAAAGAGTCAGACCTAGCAAATTAGCCACCATTGCAAGATTTATTTAGTTATGAAAAGAGAACAGATATGGAACAAGACCTTCATATAGCATATATCATTCAACAATTCATTACGAGCTGCAAAATTTGGCACACTAATTCCAATATACTGTTGTGCAAGAGGCACTGGACGATAACTCGAATCAAAAAAGAAAAGGCCTGCGTCTGGATTTACTCTAAGAAACTGTGCAACCTGGTCACAATGAATGGTCAGAATTGGCAGATGAAGTTCAGTAAACACTTCAGCATACATAATATCAAGATCAACAGAGGTAATAAAAACAAGTATATATTAGACCAAACACCTCTAGATAATTGGGAAGAGTGGCAGAAAGGCCCACAATGCGTATCATTGTCTGAGTTGACTCCACCTGATATTAAAAAGATAGAAGAAATTGTTCAATTAGAAGCCAATTATTACGCGGGGAAATAAAACATAATAAATGGCTGTAATAGCAGTGTTGCACCACCAAGTAATGGGAATAGCACCACTACACAGATTGGTATATCATATAAATTACACCAAAACCACAGGCATTATCTGCGAGATATTATCAAAATAATAACATTCAGCACAATGAAAATAAATGCATGTTGAAAATAAGTCTTTACAATGATGCATTATAAGTCTTTACAATACATTAGAGTCACAAGCAACTTCAGCACAACGAAAATAAATGCTTGTTGAAAATAAACAAGTTTCTTTCATTCTTTACCTCTTCTACTTCCCTACAGAACTACATTTTTAACCCGTACCCACTAGAAAGAGGAACCTATTTATCAAAATTCTAGATTTAAACATAAATTATGGCAAAAACAAACACAAGAAACATCACTGGAAAGAAGCCAGTCGAGATTTCTCTTCATAAGCACAATTCACCGAGGATACAAACGCTTCATGAATGTTAGCTTAACCAAAACTCACCAACAATTAAAAACATAGTCACAAGCTGTACCTGCCGTAGTGTCCTGGCAACTAGAGCCTCTATTACAGGACCTCTATCGTCATTGAGTAGATGTACTTCATCAATAATTAATAGCTTCACTAGCATCGAGAGTGACATGTCACTGCTCTTTCGAGTAATGACATCCCATTTCTCAGGTGTTGTCACTATCATCTGATTTAAACCAGGGGAAAAAGAAAAAAGAAAAAAAACAGAACTTAGTTTGCATGCTGGCGAAGAAATCTGAAGATTCCTAACCCTGTAATTTTCATAACAAGAAACCTGAGTTTCTTCAAGTTCATTTTTAGAGAGCTGCATATCTCCAGTAAGCTCTCTAACAATCATATTCAAAGGAGATAAACGTTGGCTGAATGTTCTTGTGACTTCTGCAGCCAAAGCCTAGAAAGGACAATCATCTAAACTCAGAAACAACACAAATTCAGGGAATAAAAGGCAAGACTGAATAGAGAAATAGAAAGAAGAGCAACCCAAGCATCAACATACCTTCATTGGAGCAACATAAACTACCTTAAATTCATCTTTATGCAAGTAACCATCCCTAAAGTGTTGTCCAATCTGCATACAATTCATTCATCAAGGAAATAAGTTCTTTCATGAAAACACGCTTCTAAGAAAGAGCATACAGAGCTAAAATATGAAAAAGCACAAACAATTGAACAATTAAGAAAGACCATGAATACATTAAAGCCCTATAATTTCTCGAGATATCTAGCAATCAAACTCCTTGAAAATGCCCATTAAGAAAAAATTAAAAATAGAACATACTTTATCTCTTCCCCACTTATAGTATCACTTTAGCCCCAAAAAATCTCAATATGGGTCTAGTTAAAATTTATCAGATTGTACCCCAAAAAATTAAAAAAATAAATAAATAAATTATCATAGATGAGCTAACAGTCTAAAATTAAGTAAGCATGGTACTTACGGTACTTCACCATTTTTTCCTTTCAGCGTGTGGCTCGAAGATTATTAGATAAAAATATTCACAATACCTAATAGGTTTTGGGAAGTAATAGCAGCTTGTCCATATTAGAATAGTAATCATATTCCTACACAGAACTATGGTACTGCTGCACTTAGAGTAACTCTGTTACTCCAGCTAAGATTAGTTTTCTTTCTGTTAGTTGGTTAGCTGAGCTGTCATTGTTATAGCAGTTGTTAGATTCATTAGCTTACAGTGCAAACCTTTGTACTTCTACTTCTATCTATATCCCTCTCTGCATACCAGAGTTTTTAGTTTGTAGAAATAATATTAAAACATTCAGAGTATCTCTCTCTCTCTCTTCCTCGCTCTCTCTCTCTCATTATTCTCTTCTCTTTCTCTCAGTAGGGCCTGAACCATTAACCATGGCTTCTCCACAACATACGAAAGTAGCTCCACTTGTTCCTAGTGATTCCTCCTTCTCAAACCAGAATCCTACGTCCCCCATGGATACAAGTCAAAGCAAGACCAATCCAGTGCTATTTTCTCATTCAATTTCGGTAAAACTAGATGAGAATGACTACTTGTTGCGGAAGCAGCACATACAAGCAGGGATAAAGGCTCATCAGCATCACCGTTTTAGTAGCAAGTCCAGAGATTCCTCAGCAATTTGCTTCGGAGGAAGATCGAATGGTCGATCAAGTCAGTGATGCATACATTCAGCGGGAGCAACAGGACCAAATATTAATTTCCAGGCTCCTTTCGTCACTTTCTAAAACCATTCTTATGAAAATCATAGGCTGAGTGCACTCCTGGCAAGTCTAGGAAGACATACACAACCATTTTCATTCCCAAATGAAAGCCCAGTCCTGACATCTCCGACTAAACTAAGGAACATGAAGAAAGGTGGAAGCTCAATTTCGGAGTACCTTCTGCGCATTAAGATGGTTGCAGATTCACTTTTGTCCATTGGCGATACAATCACTGCTAGATATCACATTGATCTCATTTTAGATGGATCACCAGAAGATTATGATGCTTACCATTTGTCACTTCAATTAACAATAGAGTTCATCCTTGCACAACCTGCGAACCTGAATCTTTGCTCCTTGCACAAGATGCGAATATTGATAAACACACAACTCCTCTTTACCTGCTGCTCTCTCAGTGAACATTGTGCAACCTTCTCCTTGAGATGTTGATCACATCCGAGCCACAAGCATCACAACTTGCACCCTCATCACTACCACCTCCACCTGCACAAATCTTTGGTCCACTGCTATCAAATTTGAGTCACTACTTAGATACGGTGTTGAGTTTAAGCTCGGATTTTCTCAAAGCTATATAGCCTTTTCGCGGTCCCATTGGATATGACTTTAGAGGTTGCGATGGTCGAGGCTTTCACAGCTCCATCTCGTGCTAACGCTGTGGCCAACTTGGTCACTCATCATTTCAGTCCGAATTTCGTTCCAACGTCAGTTTTAGATGCATCTTCCGACTTAGTTCCACCTTTCCTCCCAGTACACTGCCACAACACTACTTCATGACTCCTGGAATAGGCCCCAAAATCAATCTAATGACACTCATAACTCTGGATCTCTTGGCTCTCACAATCGGCCATCCTTTGGTTCATTCTCAAGAACCAATCCTATCCAACAACAAGGACATTCCTCTCAGGCTCCCAACAAGGCTCCTGTTGAGATATATAGTCCCACATTGGTTGTATGTGCAACTAATGTGGAGTTTATAAGGTCTTGGGCACTCCCACCCTTTGAGCTAGCTTTTGGGGTGGTGTATTCCAAGGTTCTTTACAGTAAGTTACGTTATTTCTTAGCCATTGAGGTGGCACAATAGAGACAGAACATATCAGAGAAAGTATGCCTTGGATATCATGGAAGAAATAGGTATGTTAGGGTGTAAGCCTATTGATACACCTACGGATCTTAATGTCAAGCTTCTAGCTAGGTAGGAAGAGCCTCTTACAGATCTTGGCCGTCATCAAAGGGCATGTCAAAATTTGTAGTAACTCAAATGTTGATTGGGCACGCTCTCCCTCAGATAGACGTTCCACTTCAGGATATTGTGTCCTCTTTGGGAGAAATCTGATTTCTTGGAATTGTAAGAAGCAAACTATGATAGTCAGATCAAGTGCAAAGGCTGAGTATCGAGCAATGAAAGCTACAACCTTTGAGCTTATTTGGTTAAAGCAATTGATTAAATAACCAAGTCTCTGTGAACAACAACCAATGAAACTTATTTGTGACAATCAAGCAGCAATACACATATCTTCTAATCCAGTCTTTCATGAGAGGAACAAATATACGAAAATAGACTGTCACTTCATCCGAGTAAAGATTCAGCCTGAAGAGATCGAGACAGCATTCGTCAATTCTAATGATCAACTTGCAAATATTTTCACCAAAGCTTAACACATGATATATACGCACCAGCTTGAGGGGGAGAGTTAGAATATTAGAATAAATATATTTTAGTTACTGTTTTATTAGTCTTAGTCTCATATCATGTAAATAAAGCTCAAGCCCATGTACTCTATCATTATAAATATAAGTCTAGTCTGATCAGATTTAACACACAGTTCCTCAAATCTAAGTAGAAATAAATTTCCATGGACTTGTTTCAGTCACATTGACCACTTGTAAAAAGTAACTTAGGGTGTACATGACAGCATTCCCAAGAATAGTTTTATTTCAATTTTTAGTCTGGGAATAGAAATAGTTAGAAATGTGTTTGATAAAACCAGTTCATTTTTTTATTATAGAGAATGAACCGATAGCCAAAGAACAAAAAGTGAAAAGAAAAAACACCTTTTTTATTTTTTTGTTCCCGGGAATATATTTACTAAATAAACACATCGTAGAATGTGTTATCAAGATTTGAAAATTGGAACAAAGAAATCTCTCCATTTATTCAATAGATGCATCGTAAAATGTGTTATCAAACTCATTTTTCTGCCCAGAAACACTTAAGCATAAAAATAAAAAATAAAAATTCTACTGAAGGCCAGACCTCTCAGGCTCTCTAGCTGGCCTTCCTACCTCCAAAACCTTATCTGCCTCCTCAGTCACATTGTCCCCCCTTATACCTCCTTCCAGAACATTCATTTTCCCATGTCCAATGTGCTTGTTTCCTCTCTCAATAGTGGACCCTCCTGTGCATGAACGCCTTCAACTAACTTCTGTTTTGGCCTATCATTCTCATTTTGAACATTCCCCTATTTCTCCCCTTATACACTCTCGCCCACTTCTTTTTCCTAACATATACAGATATACTTCAGTAATTGGAAGAGGTTTATCATGATCCTACAACCTAGAGTTCTTGTCAACCAACTCCTAACTTCAAACCCATAATCTTTCAAATTAGAAAGATATAAAAAATAAAATAAATTGCAAATGAAAACTGAAGATAAAATCAATAGACAGAAGGCAAAACTAGGTTACTAGCCCTTTAACATAATTTCTCATTCACCAGCAAAATTGTGACACATATGTAGTCAATACTATCACGTCCTAGAAAAAAATATTGTTTTAAGGAGGATTAGTTCAGTTTGTATACACAACAACAAAATGATGATGAACATAGCAGAAAATGAATTGAAAATTAAACTATAACCTCATAAACAGGTTTAGGATCAAGGAAGAAAGTAAAGAATACACAAAGTAAACAGCTAGTACATCCAAATCTTTCTTTGTCTCATGAGATCAACGAGAGAGAGGAATCAACTAAAAGCATTGATTTCAGATGTTAGAAACAAATCATATCTTTCAGGAAAAGAGTAAATATAAAGCAAGTGAGTATTCACCTCATGTAGAATTGAAATCATAGCTATATTAGTTTTGCCAGCTCCTGTGGGAGCACACACCTGCAAGCACATGAAAAGCACTTTATCCACAAGGAAAGTAATAACACTTTTTCTCTTTTGCTAAATGAAACATCTCTACAATCATTACTAGTTATGTTTGAAAACTAGACCAGAGAACACTCACTAGTATATTCTCATTAGTTCCATAAACAGTTTGGAATATCCTGCTCTGAATACGGTTTAGTGATTTGTAACCGCGGAAAGCAGCTTGAGCAAAGTCATCTAACTCCCTGATCTCAATCTGCAAGTGCATAATTGTAGTAAATATGCATTAATGACGCCATTTATCACAAACCACTATTTAGAAGACCATCTAGGGGATTGGGGGAAGCAGTAGTCATGCATTTTATTAATATTTAGGCAAAGAAATAGAAAATACACAAAATCTGAGTTCTGATTCTTTTAAAAGTGGCATGGTATCATCCTGCAATAATCAAAGACTCTAGGACAATAGCAATCCCAGCATCAAATCCATCACTCATTTCATATATTAATAACATTCTTAATCTCTCATTGAATAGTTGAAAGTATCTCATGAATCACAATAAAAGAGTTGTACCAGCTTTTCTCCAGGTTTCATTGGCGCAGTTGGTTTTGGAGGAATAATAACCTCTTCATACCCCTTAAAATGCTTCCTGACAGTTCCTTCAGGAAGAGCAGTAACAGCTATTGACTCAGACCTATCTCCAGAACTGATCATCTCATCGAATAAATTTTTCTTCTCACTTGCATGAAGTAAAGATGAGAAATCCAGTGCAGACAAGTCACCATCACCAGCATGTTCTATTCCCCGTCTGTTTCGCTTTTCCTCCTTGCGTCGAAGCTTGTCAATTTGCTTTTCTGACTCTGTTTGAACAGTCACCTAAAAACAGTAGTTCCTTAAGAAAACAATATCTTAAATAAAGACAGCATGTGTCTGCATTCCAATATACAAGTGAAGAAGTACAAATTAATTATAAAGAACATGGTTAATACCTGTGTCCCATAACTAGGCATACGAGACTGAGCATTTGATCCATTTTTATCTGACTTCAATATCAATAAGCCATGATGAATAGAATCAATAATCTCCTTTCGATGCTGCAAATTGTCAAAGACATGCCAACTATGATTCAAACAAATCCATAAAAAAAAATTCAGTATCTTTCACTATCAGATAGTTGACAATCATGCCTTATGTCTTGAAGTGAAGGTCATCAAACAACAAAAAGTGTAATTCAAACTGTTAAAAACCACTTCAGCCCAAAAGCTTAAGTTGTTGGGTGAGACTACATTAAATGGTTTTTATACTTCTATAACACGCCCCCACACACGAGAGCCACTGAGCTTAAAGGGTGGATAAGGCACAGATCCACTTACTTGTGCTAAGAAACTCCACGAGACTTAATTAATTATTAACTAAATGGAGAGCGGTGAGGATTGAACCAGTGACACCAAGACTCTAATACCATGTAAAGAACCAATTCAACCCAAAAGCTTAAGCTTTTGGGTGAGGCTACATTAATGGTTTTTATACTTCTCTAATACAAACAAAGAACAAAAAAAGCAGAACTTGACACAGAATATGAAGCAACCATTACTTGGATACGGGTGGAGAAGAATGAATTCATAAAGATTTACTAATAACCCTTTTAACAAATAAGAGGGGGAAACTAGCATATTCTCACCACTAAAAGATTTTGCACTGTTTCAAATGCACTATCACCAACAAGATCCAACAGATCTCCAGCTATCTTCAAAGACAGGGGGGAAAAGAGTAAGTTCCAGTATTGCAGCAAACTGTAGTTATTTATACCTGTTAAAGAAGATTGGCATCAAGCAATACCTCTTCACCAGGCTTTTCTGAATTAAGAACCCTACAAATGGCCATTGCTAATTCATCTCGGGATAGCTGGGAATCACAATTCCTAACTATTTTATCACATGCACCTCTTAACCAAGTCAAGTTGAACTTTTCCCCATCGACAACAGAATGATCTGTTGGGTCAGTATGACCATATTGTTCTTCATGAAATGCTAAAGAAGCAGTGTTTTTGAAATCCATCATATCTCCATCATCTAAGGATGCATCAACCAAGAAACGAGCTGGTGCTTGAAAAACAAAATCAGCTCCAAATTCTAAATCGTCATCAGCATCGAGATTGCTTTCCAAAGAAAAGGATGAGTTTGTATTGCTAGGCTGCAAATTTAGAAGACTCTGTGCTAGAGATGCAACTTGCCTCAACTTGGCATCAGCAATTGGATGACCGATAAGTTTTTGCAATTCTAACCTGCATACCAACGTCACACACTGAAAGTTTAAAGTTTTGGAACAAATGCTCCAATCACTCCACATTCAAGACTCACAGCATAATCAATCAAATATTTAAGACATATTATGGGCCTCTGCATTTTGTATCATGCACCTGCCAATACAAAATTAGAGAACTTCCATAACAGTGTATTCAAGTTCAATAAACAATATTTAGTAAGGCTCATTCAATTCTTTAAATCCAAAAGCCATACACAGTTCAACAATTACTTTATTCCTATAAAGCGCAAAAGGGAAATCACAAAAAACATGTCAAAACTTCAAAGGCCAATACTTACTTTTTATCAGAAATAATTTTATCAATATAATCCTCCTCCTCCATTGGCCTGCCAAAAAAACGGTATACAGCCAGCGCCACCTCATGGAACTCCTCAGAGCGCATTTCTCCATCAACCAAGTCCACTACTGCTCCTATAAATTGCTTGTAGGCCTGCCGCACTTCTGATGAAGCTGCTTTCACCAATTCATCGAATACAAACATGTCATCCCTAACTAATTTCTTTTCGAATCAATTGAAAATATTAGCACATTGATCTCACAACAGCACAATACCTTCTTCCCACCCATAAACAATCTTCCGTGCGAGTTCCGATTCATCAAGCGAGCTTGCAGAACTAAATGCCACAGTTCAAAATCCAAAATTGTCAACATCAATATATTGTACAAACAAACAAGAAAAGCATTCAAATCACAGTACACTACAAAGTTACAAAACCAAAACCAGTAGCATCTCAAAGTACGTGTTCGGTTGCCAAGAAACTCGTGAAATATAGAAATGGAAATTCTTAATTCTCTATAACTTCAAAACAAACAGGATGGAAATTGGTGAGTGTGATGGATTGGATTACTTGCGAGGTCTTCGGTTGTGGAGAATGGTTTTGCGATGAAGATAGGCTTGGTCGACATCGAAGGGGTCTCTGAGAGAGTTCGTGAGGCGAGGAATCTGAATCAACATTATCGATAGATTGATGCCCAATCTTCTGAGTCCCTCTCTTAAGAAGACGAACGAACTCTGTGGTAATGGAAGGAAAGCTCATACACCGCACTATGACTCGAATAAATACCGAAAGACTGATGGGAGTAGATCTTATTAATCCAAATACAAATAAATGATTATTCTTTTTTTCATATTTTTATTTTATTGCGTATTTACTATCACAATTAATTAAAATCCTCTCACGGTACCTCTTTTATGAACAAATTTTGGGTGCGGCTGATATAGGTATATCCTATCCAAAAAATGAAAAAATTTATGACTTCGATGGAAATATAAATTAAAAGTTGGATTTAAAAGAAAAAAAAATCACTTTTAGTAAAAAAATGTATCCAAATAGATACATTTATTCAACCGCTGCTAATTAAAATCTCGATTTATTATTACGATTTTATATTTTTACGATTTTTTTTATCAAAATGATTTAGTCAATATTTCAAACACTTTTACATTTTTATGATTTTTTTTCGTTACAATTTTATATTTTAAAAATTTTTATCCTCTTTCTGATTTTATTTACATAAAATTTCGATTTTAACTACACCTAAGAAATTTCCCTCTCCTATGATATAGAGGATTCATTCCCAATTTTAATTGGACAGGTAAAGGTATATGAGAAAAGTAAAAGTGCAAGACAACTGAGGGACATTGACTCTTTTACCACTGTTTTGAAAGTATTTATTAGTATGCCACGATCCAATGAAATTTTTCCAAAATGCCACGTCACATTCTTGCTAGTCCACCAAGCGAGACTGAATTTGACACGTGACAGTGTTTTACAGGCCACAAATCTCGCCCAGCAGTATAGCAAGATTCATGATCAATGTGGCAGACTGTCACATCTACAAAAAGTTGTCCACGCGGCTAATCTCACTGGGCTACCCAACTAGAATAGGTGTACATTTTCCACATGTCAGTACCCTGGTCTAACTCATTGGGATGCCCAGCGAGAATGGTTGAGACCGTACGACCAACATATGCATGTCATCCACGTGTCACATCCTCACCGACAGATGCATAACCAAATAAGGGATTATTTTAAGGTTAGTATTTATTTTTTATTATTGTTGTTATTAGCATGTGTTAATATAAAAAATCCTAGGATAGATGACATTTATAATATTTATTACATGAATTATTATAAGTAAATTTTAGGGTAGTTAATTATTTTAATTAGTAATTAGATTAGTAATTATTTTTTATTAATTTTATATCATTTTATATCATAACCGTTGATTTTCATCAATCAACGATTAAGATTTATTGGATTTTATTGCGAATTACTAATTAATTAATAAGTTTGACCCAATAAATCTTATCTGTTGATTGACAAAAATCAACGGTCAGTATCTAAAATGACACAAAGTTATATCATTTAAAAGGACAAACATTTTTCTCATATATATATATATGAAGAGTTATATTTAAAACTAAATTGTTTACAAACTATTACAATCAAATTCTAACTATTGATTTCTGTCAATTTAATGGTTATAATTTATTGAAAATTAATAATTTATTAAAAAGTGTAGCACAATAAATTATAACTGTTAGATTGATGAAAATCAATAGTTTAGATTTAGTTGCAAGAGTTTGTAAAAATTTAGTTTGTAAATATAATATATATATATATATATATGAGTTAGGATCCTTTGACACCAGTATCAAATTTGAAATTTGACACCTCATCTAAGAGCCATTGGATCAAAAAAGATCAACAGTTCTTATTTGTAAGCATATGACACCATTGTCTTTTTTGATCAATGGCTCTTAGATGAGGTGTCAAATTTTAAATTTGACACTGATGTCAAAGGATCCTACCTCTAGATATATATATATATATATATATATGGGCAGGATCATCTTACACCAGTGTAAGAGTTTTAATCTTACACTCGATCTCAACCATCAATCCTACTTCAATCAAACGGTAGGAGATTAATGAGAAAAAGTAAGCACGTGACCCCTCTATCTTCCATAATTTAATTTTTCTTTGCTTTTTCCCAAGACGTTGCAACTTCTTCACAAAATAATACGTCTACACCCATCGTTGCTCCTCCCTCTGAACTTCTCCATGATTGTCGGCCTCTTTTGTGAGCTGGAGTCGGTGTCACCAGGCTTACAATTATTGATCGAGTGTTTACTATAACACTTCTAATTGGGGTTAGAAGCCAGTAATTCTCAATATATGAGTTTCGTTGACAGTGAGGATCTTTACGAGTTCATGACATTTGTAGCATGTTCCATGAGGTAAAAACAATGGCAAATAAAGGATATAATTGAGGAGCGAACTCGAAGGAGAAGGCATGCAGAATATTTTGTCCATGCATTTTTCTATAGTAGCCTCTCATCAATAAGAAATCTGGTCATCCTAAGTCTTTTTGTACCTATTAAAAACTAATAAATTAATTTTTATGTCTATAAACTATTCATGAAATGTATGTCTTTGTCCTAAGGCCGTTGCCTGGTTCTTTATTATTCTCGTGGTGAAAAGTTTCCCATTGTGAAATCTAGCTTAGAACAATTTTTTATTCCCATTGAATAATTCTTTCTTTTGTATCTACCGTTCTTTCTTTTCATCCTGAAAAGCTTACATAAATCAACAAAGGAAAAAAGGAAATATTTAATTTTCAACTCAATAAATAACCAATTGCACCATTTTCTTGACAACTATCATAACACAAATTATTCATTATAGCTTATAACAATTGTTTCTGGGAGAGGTTGCAATTTATGGTGGACTTTTCCTTTCCTTGAGTCGAAGCTTATAACAATCATTACAGGCTCAGCACACACAAAGAATTCGTTAAACTTTTCCATTAAAAGGAAATAGGAAAAATTTAGAAAACACCCATTAAATTAAAAATGATAAATTTGCAAAGAACCTTCAAAAGTCTAGCATAAGCAAAAAAATGACATATCCATTCCTACATTCCCAAAGTTACCTCCTTTTATGCGTGAGAATGACAAGCTACAACAGCTCTGTCACCCCAGTTCCAGAAAATCTAATATTCCAGCAGAATCGAGGGTTTTTTTGGAAACCCAGAAACCCAGGTTGGGGGGAAAGCGATGGTGGGTGTGGAAAAGTTTATCCTCTGTGGAGAAGCTACAAGTCAAAGGAAAAAACAAAGAGAAATGAAAGTATGGAAAAGAAAAAGGGGTGAGGTGCCTTTTGGCACTGACTCTAGCTCGCGAAAGAGGCCAACACCAAAGCGAAGGCGACAAAAGAGGTTGAGGAGAGGAGCGATGGTGGGGGTGGAAGAGTTTGTGTTATGTGGAGAAGCTACAACGTCAAAGAAAAAAAGAAAAGAAAAGAAATCAAGGGAGAGTAAATGGCTCACGTGCTTACTTTTTCTCATTAATCTCCTACCGTTAGATTGAAGTAAGATTGATGGTTCAGATGGAGTGTAAGATTAAAATTCTTACACTGGTGTACGATGATCCCGCCCCATATATATATATATATATATATATATATATATATATATATATATATATATATGTTTAAAATTTTTAAAGTTACTTTAGATAATTTTATCTAATGTTCACCAAAATACACAAAAAAAAATATGTGGAGTCCATATAGACCCATTTGAAAAGAAGAAAAAGAAAAAGAAAATATGACATACTTTTATGTGTATATTTTGGTGAACATTAGATAAAGTTATCTAAAGTAACTTTAAAAACTTTAAACCTTATATATATATATATATATATATATATATATATATATATATATATATATATATATATATATATTGTTTTTCATCAAGATGAAAAAAAATTATTTCCATCAACCCCAAAACTACGTCATTTTGGAGGTTGGGGGAATGAATGAAAGGTATTTTAGGGTTGTCATTTGTTTCTTATTATATGAATATTATTTTCCTTGAATTTCAATATGGACAATTAGTAACATTAAAAAAGGGGAGCCTATTTGTTAACCTACCTTTTTTGGGAAAATCATTGTTCAGAGAATCCATAGATTCCTTTACAACAGTGAAGCTTTTCCCAAAAAAAAAAAGTATAAGCTTTGATACTACTTGTTAGTCAAGTGACTTTTATAAACTCAAGATGGAGTGAATTAAGTTATGAAAACTTTCAAATTGCAACCCACCAAATTATTCATTTTCTCGACTAAATAGATGCCCAATATTGTACTTATTCAAGCTCAATATAAAATATAAGAGAGGCAAATTGCAAAAGTGAATTTAGCTACCAAACATAATATAAAAAACTCTTACAATGTCACAAATTGAATTCCAAGAACCTTGGTGTGCAAGAAAACTAGTGTTCAAGAAAGTGAAAATTAGTTATTTTAACTTTTAACTCTCCCGAATGAGAGTTAATTTGGTATTTTGTGATGAATTTGCTGCATAATTTTCATATAAAGTGTCTTAAATGCATGATAATTGAGCTAAATATTGCATATTCATGATTAAGTTCTTTGAGATGACTAAGTATGAAAAATGGGATAATTATCCTTGATTTTGTGTAAGAAAAGATGTTTTGTTAAGTGTTTGTCTTTGCAGGAAAAGTTGACGCCTTAGTGTTGTAGCAGAGAAGCTAACGAAGTAATGATATAGCAATCGGTACAGCATGACAGCGAGGACAAGGAACAATTGAAATTCAAATTTCAAAAGTTAATTATTCCCCAAGAAAATAGGGATAAGATAAGGCTGCAACAGCACAAATCATGGATTTTCACTCCTAAACCTGAGGCCCAATTAACCAACCACCTTTCCTATTTAAAGGGGAGTCCCCTACGGATTCAGAAGGCAAGAGGCAAGCCAGGAACGACTGTAGGTAACACCACACCACGTTTTAGAGAGAGAAAGTGGGATTATTGGAAGAGGAAGAGCTGCTGTGTAACAGCCCGTTACATACCGATGTTGTTAACATTGATTATGATATTAAGCGCAGTTACAATCACAGCAGTACATTTAAAAATGCGAGTAAACTTTTTCCTTTTCATTACGTAAGCATTTAAAAACAATAATAAAACGTAATGATAA